TTTATCCATCGTCCTGGTTTTAAGATAACTAAGAAAAACACGACGTTTCGGAAACTGGATCTGTTTCCGTCCTCAGGTGAGGGAAAACACCTATTCTGTTGGGTTCCTTAGAAAGACCTAGCCTCAATCACTGGTCCAGTTTCTGAAACGTCATGTTTTTCTTAGTTATCTTAAAACCAGGACAATGGATAAAGTCCGAACACCCAATGTCTCTGAGTACTTCAGAGGCTTGGAAACATTAAGAGCTCTGAGCAAAACAGTGAATGTCTCCCTCCCTCAATGATGGATTCAACATTTCCCTTCGATTATGACTAAAAATGCTGACTTTGTAGTTTCCTGGGATGTGACACTGGCAGTCTGGTAAATGGTCACCGATACTTTGGAGTAACACGGTGCCTTCATTACAAGAATAACAAACTTACCTTCTCAGGAGTGACATTCTTGTTCAGAATGACATATGTTACTATGCTCACGAAGACAGCAAGCCTTCTTCCAATTAACCATCCAAAACATAACAGAATGCCTTCCACGTAGGATGAAGTCCTTATAACTTGGATTTCTTTTCTGAAATCATTCAAATAGCATTTGTGTACTTCTCAATCATGAATATACTGACACGCCCACTCAAAGCCAGAACTGTGGAGCCAGAGAACATGTCCATCACTAGGCAATGGCTCTGTAAACACGTTTCCACGGCAACAAAATCACATGACCGCTGCAACAGTTACACACGCAACAATAAAGATACTGTTGGAGGCGGGGTGTTCTCTGTTGGGTCCATGCTGAGGCTATATACCAGGGACAAAACCTAACAGTTAGTTAGTTCTGAGACAAACAGGCAAGTTGGAAGCGAGCACTAGCCTCCAATAGCAAGTGGTGGCCAGACGTGGCTAGGGGTAATTGGACAGGAGTTGCGGTTATGAGGAGCTATGACAGGTGGTAGCGATTAAGGACACAAACATGAAAGATGAGGAATCTACAGTATTGGGAGCTGTTACCAAGCAACAAGTGATGAAGACAAAGCAGACTGAGAAGACAGAGGGCATGCTGTAATGAAGTGTGCAGGGCGTGAATTCACCATGGTGCTATAACTGTACTTACAGTTTGTAACAGTCCAGTAAATCCAAACCCCACTGTCTAGTCATTTAAACACATGACAATATAATTATTTTAAATGTGAGATGTTTTATGAACAAATCAGCAGCTCTGCACAACACAACAAACCAGACACTATCTTGAAGAAAGTCGTCTTCTGGGTTTTGGCGCCGCGTATTCTTCATTTTGGCTGACGTTTCGGAGGCGCTGCACCTTTCACTTCCTAATCGTTACAGCTACTGCTCTGCATTCACAGCCATTCGCCTGCTCTGAAGATGGAGGCGATACGTTCCTCCGAAATGTCAGCCAAAACAAAGAATACATGGCGCCAAAACCCAGAAGACAACTTTCTTCATAGTCATCGCCGTGAAAACCTCAAAACTTAGACAGACATTATCTTCATATAAAACACTGTCACTTGCAGAAACACAGAACTCAAGTCAGACATGGGTGCCCATAGATATGAAACCATAGCAACGAGCATCTTCAAGAGTGAACTGTCGTGCCACACAGTGAGAATAAAGCATAACAAATTCATGCCACTTTCTTGGACTGGCAAAAATGTGTGCATGTTTGTAGTGAAGCAAAATGTTGAGAGACTGAAGACATTTTGCAATAAATGTGTCAGAACCAGAGCACTGCCCATGGTTCCAGGCTCTGCAGAGCTGAAAGTATGTAAGAACATTACTCTGTATTACCCTTCTAGTATTATTAGAATATCTAAATAAAATTGGATATAATGAACTTGAGAAATACTTAAGTTAGGAGACATACCAAGTGCATCAACACTTGTGTTGCTGGAGACAAGTTACCAGACGGTCAGTAATGGTACACTGTTACAATTATTTGCTCTTAGAAAAACATGTTTCAGTAAAGTGTGTGCAGCAATGGCTCCAGACTGGAGCCCGTGTGGAGCCTGTGGTGCTGAACACTGGAGTTCTCACGTAATTCCAGAGAGTACGGTATCTCCTAACGCAGGGAAAACAATTAAAATATTATCATCTTGAAGCAGTATTTCAGGTGTGTGCATTCCATGTAGTATACATACTATATCTGACATAAATGCTAATTCCATGTGCACTTACTTGATGCTCCATTAGATTTGTATGAAATCTGTGCAGATCTGTCTGTGTTTAGGTGGGGTTGTGCAAAGATACCCAGGTCATTACCAAATTTCTTCAAATATTCAAAGATTTCCAAGCAGAGCTCATGAAGCCTACCATCCTAGCGCATACATTTCTGCCCTAGGACGTCACTGCCAGTGCCAACACAATACTTTCTTCCTGTGGAGAACTTATTATTCAAGTACACATTCTATGTTAAATCTGCTGGAAATAACCTCACCTTAACCACATCTGCAGTTACTGCTGTATATATAATCTGCCACTACAGGAAATACCAAATGCCTACTTCCTATGGTTCATTAGTTTTCTTCATCAAGCCAAGAAGAAACACCCCCCCCCCCAACTACTATGTTATTTCGAATTCTGTTCAAGGGGGAGGAGGAACCTTAAAAAAATTATTTATTTTTCACATCATTTGAGAACACTAAATTAAACAATGCTACTGTCACCTGTGTATCCCAGTTTTGAGTGTCTCTATGTTCTTATCACTGATGATAGGAAATTATAAAATGTAACAGTGGAGCATACCACAGTGACACAATGTCTTTACCAAGTTTGATAAAAACTGGTCAACTGGTTCAGAAGTTTAAATGGGGGAACACAGAGAGACATCATCACAAGGACTGGAAGCACAGTGATCTCAAAAGCCCACTGTTTTCCTATAGTAAAAAAATGGGCTAAAATACACTCATGACAAGTTATTTTTCTCATTGCAGTCTATGATATCCATCTAAATCGTATCCCACATCCTTTGTACGAATTCTAAAAAATGGACTCAAACTTTTATTCAGGACTTCATGTAAAATGGTTATTCTGAATGATCAGTATTTTCAGGAAGTGTCATCCTCATGTTTCTGTTTTAATGGGATAAATGTACAAGTTTTGAAAAATCTGTTTACCAAAAGTGCCTCAGACTCAAACCAACAGAGACACACATATTCCCAAAATTTTTACAACAGCCACTCTGCTCTGTGCTGAAGTTTTAATTAATATCTTCTGCAAAAACACTTACTTGCGAGCTAAAGAAACAAGATGTGCAAATGGTTTCTCCCAAGCATACATCTTGATCACCTGAATGCCAACGATGATCTCATTCATAAATCTGATGCGTTGGTCAGTTCTTCTGGCTGTACGCAGACGTAATGTAGAGATCATCTTCCCAAAGAAAGCTAAAAATTAATCAACAATATGCGTTAGCCTAGTTGGTTGAGGCACTATGCTAATAGCCGGAAGGTTGGGGGTTCAAATCCCAATGAGGTCATTGGATTTTTTCAATTGACCTAATCCTTCCAGCCGCACTACAGCCCTGGGGTCGACTCAGCCTCTAACAGAAATGAGTACCAGGAATTAATTAAATAATTTTCATAGGGAGTAAAGCATGGCCAGCGCGCAAGGCTGACAACCTTACCACCATCTTTGAGCCAACTGTCTAGATAATGTGGGACCCTCAACGTCTCACAACCCTATGGGCCTTCACGGCCTGTTACAGGGACAGTTTTACTTTTTATTTTTTTTTATGTTCATAACTAGGGCACATGTGTTCATGAAACATGATTAATAAACACAATTCTTTCCTACAATTTATATCAGACAGGCTGAGTTCAAATTATCTATACCATTAAAAAAATACTGTCAGCATCAGAGTGGATCACTTTAATCTACAGCTTCCCTCATTCTTCTCTACCCTCTCAGAGGTCCTCCTCTTTCCTCTCCCTGCTGTTTTGTGTATCTACTGTTACTCCATCACTCCATGCAGGCTGTGGTCTTCCCAGTGGTATAACTTATTTGTAACAAGTAGGCAAGTGTGAGAATGATTCTTTCAATTTGAGATGACATGGATATAAGCATTTGGATAGTTTCTGAATCAAGATAAGGATGGGAATTATCTCTACTATACAATTTCTGACATTAGTCACATTTAAAAATCACTGATATGTACAATTTATCCACTTCAATATCACATCCCTTTCAATAAAATCTTTTTAATAACTCATTGTGTTTAAAATTAAATCAATTCTAGAGCCATGTTTCTGTTCGTCATGGACAGAAAGAGGAAGAAAAAGAAAAACATAATTTGTTGCCAAGTTGACCTGTGCCAGTGCTGCCAAACGCCTGCAGCTGGATGGAATGGAACAATGATGAGCAATTGTGAGGTAGACCAAGGTTCATCATGGACTGTAGTGCCCATAGAAGGTGGAGTGGGGAGGGGAGGAGGGGAAGGGGGTTAGAGTACTGAACTCTGCAGGTAAAAGATGCAACTGTGAAGATTACAGTATTCCCACACCACAACATTTGTAAATATACTTCAATTCTCAGATGGGCAGATACACAGCCTCAATGACTATATCCTGACAGACGGGAGACAAAATTCAAGTAGGTGTGGCATGTGATCTTCCTGAAGGGCTGACTGTGATACTGAACCCCATCTGGCAGTTGCAAAAATTACAGATGGACTACCATTAAGCAATCAAGCAACACAAAAAATTTGACATGGAAAGATTAAACCTAAGAAGCTAAATAATGTGGAAATTAAAGAACATGAGTTTGGAAAACCTGGACGATAACATGGCCATCGACAGGACTCAGGAAAGTTTTACAGAAAATATCATAACTTAGTCTAGGCCATTATGTTACAGCAGCACAAAGTACTGACGGTACTGACTGACAAGGGGCGCACACAACTATTAAATCAAAGAAGCAGACTGAGATTATTCAACATTATAAAGTACGAACAGAGGAAACCTATGTATAACAGAAAACTTCACAGTGAAGATGAAATATCTGTTGCAAATACCTTGCACTGGAAGGAGAACCACAACACTCGCCACGCCAGTCAGTGTAGCAATTCCAATCTGGCGCCACATTAAGTACACAATAATCACCATCTCTACTGGACCAATCCAGATGTAGGCCATAAATATAAGTGACACATCAAATCTGCTCACATCGTTAGACAGGAGGTTCACTGCCTCGCCCACCGTCGTTTCACCCAGAGCTGTCTTACTCAGCTTCAACACCTGAAATTATAGTGCAAGATACATGTGTTATCTACATCACTGTATTAATCGCATGTGACACTGCAACAGAAGGGAACGAGAATGCGAGGAGATGCACACATGTGGAAACTGTCACACCACAGTTGAGCGATATGCCTTGAACAAGACTGATGAAGGTAACATAAGACTATATGCACAATGCATCTTCTAGGATGTGATGCCGTGTCACTTGGCAGAAGATTAATGATGTTTCAGAGGAACATATTGTCTCCATCCTCAGAGTCACAGCATATACCATGGAAGCAAGCAGATTGCTATGCTTCGCATGCTTGACTTACTTTTCAAACCCTACATTCCTCCAGCAGACTGACAAATTCCTACCAGACTATGTGTAACCACAACCTAGGAAACAGTACTCTCCATAGTTACTGGCTTGGGAATGTCACAATGTCACCACAAAGTGATGCAGTAACATAACCCTACAAGCAACATACTAATTTTGGGAAGCCTAGTACAGCAACATTTATTCAAAGGGATTTATTTCAAGCCACAATCATCAATTCCATGGTCAAGTGGTTAGCAGTCCTACTTTGTATTTGGGAGGTCCTAGATTCATATATCAGCCCTGAGACACTCTCAAGGCTTTTCTTTATCATTCTCCTAAGTCCATACAGGGAAATCCTGGGACAGTAGGCCAGATCAGTCCGCAGCTGTACATCCATTCTGATTCATTATGCACCAACCTACCTACCATTCAGTGTCATGTTGGTCTGAGCAGCTGCAAGAGCAGTTACATAAATCATAAATGAAATAATTCAATGTACATTCAATTGTAATCTTCACTGGAGTAATTCTTCTGAATATTACAACTGAATAAGATGAGAACTGCCAGAATTCAAAATATTTTAGAACCATGTAAGTGCTGTATAAAATAAGACTCGATACAAACATGAAGAGTTCTATCTCCCTGAATGTGATGCCGTGTGGTCCAGTGAAAGTAGACTGACATTTTGATGGAAAACATCACAGAGTTCTCCTTGCTCCCTGCTTCTTGCTGGTGTCTTGCTCAACTTACCCTTCAGCATTCAAGATGAAAGCACTACTTTCCTCTGCAACTTCAGTGGACTTCTACCAGACTGTTCAGTGTTCCTTACCTGAAGACAGTGCTCCTTACGGGCCCTGCTTCATGTTGGTTTCTTGCTTCTTCTTTCTTGAAGATGGAGGTAATAACTTCCTCTGCAATGTCAGCTTTCACCAGACTACAACGAATTATATCCCAGAAGACAGAACTCTTCAGTCACAATTGTGAGAAATTCAAATTTAACATGATATAAACACGTTTAACTCAAATTTACTAACGCCTTTCTGGAAAGTTTGTGCGGATATTCTGCTTTATCTAAAACAGCTATCCGCTGCTTGTGTCAGAAATTTGGAATATAAATACATGAAGCAGAACAACAAAACCTGGAATTGATATTAGTCAGCAACATATACAACAGCATGTAGCTGAGAGTTCTGCAAATCAATGTGAAACGTGTATGTGGAGTGAATGCAGAACACAAGTTCTACAGTAAACTTCATAGTCCACTTACAAACTAGCCATTCTTGCATACTGTCCGAGTAATGTGCAATTTGTCAGGGCTGTAAAATGAAACTGTGCCATAAATTATGGAGTACAGTGCAACTTCAATATAATGGGAATTTACTGAATTCATAAAAATACTCATTTTGAAAAAGTTATCTCAGTATTGGGAAATGGCTGAAATACACATCTTTTAAGTCTGTGCCCTAATTTGAAATGACATGTCACAATACACCACTAAGGTTTAAATAAACCTGATGTTCATTATCTCCTGAAATGGCTGTCACGGAAATATGAAAACAATAAATAATTCAACATTTTTGACATCTGCAACATCATCTTTGGTTTTTCCAACCTGTTGTACCTATAGAAGTAAAAAATCTTCTCAAGACCACGAGCACAACTATCTAGTATTCAAATATTTTACTTGAATCCACTACGTGCTTCAACCTTACTGTTGTGCCAACTTCAGGGGGTAAAATACCTAAACATGAATTAATGAATTGTTATGCTATATAGCTTGTTGAACATGGGTCCATTGTTCTAAGTTTCCTTTTTTGGGGAGGGGGGTTAGACAGTTATTGAATAAACAATTTAAATAACAGGAAGAACACATACCCTAATAAGCAACAGACACAATGAACTACTAGTTATAAAAACAATAATTCACAATAGCCACCACCCACCACAAATAATACACAAAATACAAAAACATAAAAACAACAAAGAAACAATCAGAAATACACACAAACTATTTACATATGGTGGGAGGGAAACTACAGCTATAACAGAACTGATTAAGAACACAAACATACTAACAGCAGACAAAATTATTAACACTATAAAAAACAATCTGAAACCAGTCACATAAGTATACGATAAACTTAACAAAAGCAGACTCATATGAATTAAAATGTGCAGACTGCCCAAAGAAATATGTTGGCTAAACAGGCAGAACCTGTAAACCCAAATTCAGAGAACACATCCAAACAATTAGAACAAAGAGACAAAATTCAAAACATGCACAACATATTCTGGATACAGGCCATGCATATTGACCAACAGATAATACAATGGAAATCCTAAACATAAAAGAAAGGTTCCTTTATGAACACATTATCAATAATTTACCTACACAATATCAGTAAACAAGGAATATGCATGAACGAATCTTATACAGACACCAATAATCCTACCTACCAAATAATACAAATCATGACACGAGATGGAGGGGGGGGGGCACAGGCACGCACGCATGCACACACACAAAAACCTGCTCCTACCACATTGACATTACAACTCTTCCAAGGCATGTTCCAAAGCCAGCCCTTCAACCGAACAACTTCTAATGTCTAAGCAATACATAACTGCACAGACACAATAACGTAAAAAGTTCATATTCACCAAGAAACCAATCATTTATACACACATATTCAAACCACATATACACCTTTCATACTTCTTTCTCTTTCAAAGGGGAAAAATAGAAAGAGAGTAAAGTTATTCCTGTAATAGGCTGTGGAGACCCATACGGTTGAGAGATGTTGAGGCTCCACATTTTCTAGACAATCAGCTCACAGACGCCAGTGACGTCAGTCTTACAAACTAGCCACCCTTCATCCCCAGGAAAATTCCTGATATCCACTTCTCTTAGAGGCTGAGTCGACCCCATGGCCATAGTGCAGCTGGAAGGATTAGGTTAATGGAAAAATCCAACGAGCTCATCCAGAACTGAACCTGCAACCTTCTGGCTTGTAGCATAATCCCTCTACAATGTACCCTAAACTTAAACTCACATTTTATTTTTACTTTTATATATACTTTTATTTTAATTCTTTATCACTTTCATATTTCATAATAAATGTTACTATTTAATTATGCAACAATTAACCAACTGGGTAATAGAGCCCTTCCCTCCAAAAAACCTATGAGCAAGATAACCATATTCAGTGAGATACATAACATGAAAATTCATTATCTTTTGATTTTAGTATTGTACCACTTGCAGACCACACAACAGTAGGGTCAAAACATGCCGTGGATTACAGTAAAACATGTTAATACTAGACAGTTGTCTTGATGGTCTTGAATATAATTTTTGAATGATCAAGTGAAGGAGGATGAGGTGGGCAGGGCATGTGGTATGAATGGGGGAGACGAGGAATGCGTATAGGATATTGGTGGGAAAGCCAGAAGGAAAGAGACCACTGGGAAGACCAAGGCAAAGGTGAGTGGACAATATTAAAATCGATCTTAGAGAGATAGGATGGGATGGTATGGATTGGATTGATCTGGATCAGGATAGGGACCAGTGGAGGGCTCTTGTGAACATGGTAATGAACCTTCTGGTTCCATAAAATGGGGGGAAGCTCTTGAGTAGCTGCACCATTGGCGGCTCAGCGTGAGTGATAACATTATACTAAAAAAAGAAGTTAAAAATCTTCTTATGTTTACATAGCCTCTTGTATTCACAACTGACTGGTTATTAGAAGTTGTCCTTCCTTTACAAATCAAAGTCCCACCCACTGTTTACTGCATGCCTGCAAGAACAAAGTTGAACCACCTCAAATATACATATACACATATCTACGCTACATCACATGCCTACTCTGACTGCAGATAACGCCCTACATTTTGTTCACACCTCTGTTTGCCTTTCTTATTATAAACTGGTTAAACCTTCCTCTGTAACACCAAAATTTTTTGAATTCTAAGTGCACTGCAAAATGATTGGCTTTTGCCACTACATCTGTTAAATCTATCACTACAGGAGCCAATCTTTCCAAGAGAAGCCACTGAAAGGGTATGGATTCCAAAGCTTGATTTTGTGTGGTGCAAATTTGTTTTGTGTAACTAGTATCCTATCAAACAAAACAGCTGATCCCATTTAATCTCTGGTCTTCAAAATGGCGAACAATGGCAAAAAAGTTAATTCATCCTACCTTCCGACTTCATATTTTGATGAATCAAAGACTTCACAGAGACATTACTTCAAGTTTCATATACAGGTCTAATAATTTGTTACACTGCTCTAAGGGTTGAACACTTTCTAACATAAAGACAAACAGTACAATGACACAATATAAAATAACAGAAGCTAATGCACTGAAAATAAGTTCAGATGACATCACCTGATCAACATCTCTCATTTGCTAAAATCTGGGAAGGACCTGACCATGAAACCATGAAGTCATGCTAAATACAGTCCTACTATGACTGCATACATGTTGGTGAACATGTGGAGTGGAAAGCACATATGATGTTCTTAAGCTCAAAACTTCACAAAGTCTGTTACATGATAAAATCCCTTAGGGATGTAACAAGCCGACAGGTTATTAGGAGTATTTACATTGCTCACTTCCATGCTTATTTGAAGTATGGTTTAATTTTCTGGGGTAGCGACCCAAAAAGTAAAATTATATTTAAATTGCAGAAATGAACTCTTAGAAAAATTAGTGATGTGAGTAGATTAGCATCATGTAGACAGCTTTTTAAGGATTTAAACCTACTTCCACTACCTTGTATGTATATATTTGGAATAGTATGTCATGTTAAACTACATTTAGGAAAGTTAGAACAAAATAATGTAGTTCATAATCGCCAGAAGTAAATCTCCAAGCTCAGTTTTGCAGAACAAATGCCTATAAGAAAGGAGTACTGAATATGGGAATACAATTATACAATAAAATACCAAATAAAATCAGGGAGATAGAAAAAATGAGACAGTTTAAAAAAGTAATGAGGTCATATCTGGTACAACATACGTTTTATTCTGTAGAGGAATATATGTTAAATTAAAGATGGTATGTTTGTGAAAGGGGGGTATTTATTTTTAATTATAGAAATTGAACTATGGTATGTTTAACATGTATGGAACGTTTTCCTATGACAGTGATTTGACGAGGAAGGAAGAATGGATTGGTTGATTGATTGATGTGAAATGGATTGAATTGCTTACTCTGTTGGGGAACTTATGTTGTCTTAAATTTTTTATATAGTTTTGTATGGTATGTTGGACATGTACACAATTTGTATATGTAGTCAAATATTAAATTATAGTATTACTGACTTGTATACAAATAAGTTGACGTGTTCTATATCTGGAGGCTGTATTGCAAAATGCTGATTTCTGGAACCAATAAAAATGAACGAATGAATGAATGAATGTGTAACATTTAAGCAATTCTTTTCAATCATTAGGACGGCTCTGAACATGTGCACTATACATTTCTCCCTCATGGTCATGTAACTGTTCTGTTAATAGTCTCACTCAGATTCTAGGTTGAAAACTTTCTTCTCCTAGAGAAGGAAGAGACCCAAAGGGTGGGTTAATGCTACCACCACAGCCTGTGTGCTATAAACAGCTTCGGAAGCAAAACTGATATTATGGTAGCTAGAAAAATTATAAAAAAAAGTAGCAGTTAATTAAGACTTACACATATTTACAAAAGTCACTGGAAAAACTTTTCCACATATATTAAAGTAAGGAGCTGATGATGGCTATGACCCATCACTAAAGAGAATTCTTGTTACAAGCCATATTTGTTTTATCATGGTTACACAGAATAGAATATGTGGGGAAAATTTACTTGTATTTTATATTCCTGACCTTTCTGTAAACCAAAGAGCAAAGTCCAACTCTCATCTTCATTCCAAGATGCAGAGCACTCATATTGTGAGCATGATAGAATAGCACGGATATAAATGTGCTGGCAACGATGCAGGCAGCATATCCAGCAGCCACACTATGGCTCATGGTGCTATTCGGTCCAAAGTACTGTATCAGTCCCCCAAGAAATATAGGCTGAGTCACCCTGTATATCAAAGCAACAAAATTCTTGTTATACACACATTTCCTCCAAACTTTACACTAAATTTGTAACACACGGCTTCTGTACTGGAATAAAAATAGTGGCAGCTATGGTGAACATAAATATTACACTTCAGTTTCCTGTGTCCTACTGCAGACCTAACAAGACAACACCCAAAGATATAATGATATCTACTCTACACACTTGCCAGTATTTGAAGCAGCCACAGCCCTTACGCTGATGTGCAAGTACTGTGCACAGAATCTGAATACTCATTCTCAAACTTTTATATTAATTATATATATAAACTTTAATTTTGTAATTTGGGCATTATTCCTTCTTTAACCCTTTCACTGGGCATGACAGAATGTTGCATTATGGCCAAGCAATGACACGTGTATGATATACCATTATGTACTGATTTCAGTCATATATAGCTCCAGAGTATGACTAGCTGGAGAGATGCAACTTTTACGTTTCTAACAGATGGAATTTTGTGGTCTAGACTGCAGCAGTATGTAAGACATGCAGCATGTTACGTATCATCTATCCAAATTTTGTCCAATGCATGTGCTTAGGCAGCAGATTAAGAATGTTGAGTTTTCACAGAATTGCATCGAGTCGTTTGAAGTGTGTGTAAGTAAGGATGCTTTTGGTCTGTAATGGATCAAAATCTCAAAAATATGATGCACACGCAATTATAATATTAGCAGCACGGTAAAGTACTGTTACACTGCTGGGAAGAAAACTACCCAAAATATGTTTCACCAAAGCAGCCCGAGGCTACTATGTATTGTGACATATTGTGTACTGTGATGCTGAAAAGGCAAGCAATTCTACTCTGCACAGAGAACTGTATATAATAATAGTACGTTTGGTACAGGTAATTAAGAGGACACTGTCATGACAATTGTCACAGCTTAGTGCAACACAAAATATTAATCTCTTTTACTCCTACAGCAGACATGATTTAATATTTAGCATGCTCTTACCATACAGATATTTAAGTACATATATTTTCAAAAAGACAGCATTTTATCTGCCATAATAGAATTTTTCTTTCATATACAACTTTTACTGACCAAAATATGTCTACTCACACAAAACAACATTCTACAAAACACAGTAGAATCTGAAGGAACAAAATACAGCGACCATGACACCTGAACAGAACTCGTAGCAAGCTGGGATCCACACCTCTTGCACTGGCTCGCTCCAACTCAGCATTCCATAACCTGCAAAAATTGTTTGTATGAACAGCATGAATTTCCTTATATTAAATTCTATACTACACTTAATCATCCTATGCTTGTATATTAAACCCTTACACTTCACATACAGTACTCATTACATATGTGGCAGCATATTTCAGCCTTAAGTGATCTTCGGGCCATGCAAACATACAGCATCATCAAACTGAGACATTTCACTCTATATTTCATATTATTGCTTATGTGCAAATCATATATACTAAGCAGCATACTATATAAATGCAAATCACTGGTGAAATGCTTGGGATTAGCTCTATCTAATGGACCAAGTATAACTCCCCCCCCCCTTTTTTTTGGACAGGAGCAGATCCAAACTCTCAACTCAAGCTGAAAGTCATTTTGCACATGCCTACTGAAGATACAAACTTCCAGTCAATAATTCACAGCTTTTAGTTACATAAACTTGACTTAATACAGAAAGTAATTAATTAGTCCCACTGACTTTCTTTTAACATTACTTCAAAGCACAGCACCTTTTTATGCAAGAACTCTCCACTGACCTGAAGTGTTCACAAAGTCACCATATACAGTAGAACTTGGTTATAACGTCATCAAAGGGACCTAAAAATAGTGTCGTTATAAACGAATGTCGTTGTAACTGAAATGGGCACTTCCACAGTAGCCTTATGTTAGTCACGTAAAAATCTACCAAAAACCGAGTTAAAATGTTGCATTTTTTAGTGAAATACGTAGTTAAGTACAGACTAACGTAACATTAACGTGGAATTGCCCAAATGTGTAATATCAAAGACATATTACAGCGCTTTTCACTGACAATACACACCGCACTAATACTGTATATTAAAGGTAGGCCTACTCACCAAATTACAGTAGATTACATCAATTGTTGTGCCTTACTGTACCTAGATACGAGTACAGTAATCAGTTATCTTCATCTGTTTCCTGTTACTTGCCCAATACACACTTTCTAAATTACGTTCAATGTCCATATCAGAGAAATTCAGGAATGAAAATGACGTTACATACGAGGTTGATGCATTTGTGCATGTCGTACTAAGCAAGGTATAAAAACAGTTGCTTTATGAGGAATTAGTTCGTACCATTGAATATTTGACGCAATAGACAAGGTGTCGCAGAAACCGATGTTGCTATAACCAAGTTTTACTGTATTTGTAAAACATTTCTCTTGTGACATCTAACTAATAATATGATTCAGCCTTGCAAATTTAATTATCATTTCTAGCAGCCTATCAGCAATCTGTGTCCTGAAAGATCCTAGAGAAATTAGCAGAATGGAAGGGAGTGCAAATACTAGGCTCCTCAGAACTTAAAAACAAAAGATATCTCCTTGCCCTTCAGGTAATGAAGTTTGCGATTTACAGAAAACCACTCCTGTTTCCAAAATTAGGATGCTCACACTTGAGTATTCATCCTATGTGTTTTCTCCATGGGTACCTACTTTAGCAAAGGACGTGAGTCCTTTCCTTTCTTGCCATTCAAATTTGTTCATATTATTTGTCCTCCTAGCTTTCTGCTTCAGATATAAAAAAGTAAGAGTACTCAAATGTTCAAACACAAATCAATAACACAAAGACTACTGAAACATGGTCACCTCTCCAACTCATTGCCCAAGTAACTAGACCGATGTTCTTCAAGTTCTTCATATAAATCTTCTATTTCTAGATCCCTCTTGTATCCCTTTCTGAACAGTTCCAGGACCCAACTGAAAGTAAACAGACTAATACAAACTTCTGTCAAATTTAAAGTATCTTGTGTGATCATCAACATAGTATTTCAAACTAGAGAATACAGTAAAATGTGTCTGAAATATAGCCTGCATTAAGCAGAATGATACCTTTACCAAGAACAATTTCTCCAGTCCTGCCAGCATTGAAAGAAATCCAAAGTATGTTTATGTGTAATATACAAAAACAGTTTTATGTGAAAACAAATATGAGGAGCAGGAATTTAATAGAAAACAGTCTGCTTCAAAGTTTATCATTTTCTGTTCATGTACTTCTTTTCTGTAATTCTGAGAATTTTTCTGAAAAGGAACATCCCTATCAGAAATGGATAAATGTGCAAAACATGGGAGATGTAAGGTTCTGACAGCGCTGACTACAAGGATCACTGTGTTCTGGGATCTGACATCATGTCGTTTGGTAGATAGGTACTAGCATTTCAGAGGGACCTGCAGCCTTCACATGCAGGGGAGAACACAGAAGATGACATTTGCCTGGGCAAGTCGAAGCAGATCTGAAGGAACACAGAGAGCATATTTCAATAGATACATCATGACTGGCTACAGGCTGGAGTTCAACTTCTGGTAAGGTCAAGAATTTTCTGTTCTACATGTCAGAAGACCAGCTCTGTCCACCCAGCCTCCTATCCAATGGTACTGCATGGCTCTTTCCAGGGGGGTAAAGTGGCTGGGGTGTGAAGCTGACCACTCACCTCAAATTAGTGCCAAGGTCAAGAAAATGTGGATCTATACATCCACTCCCTCACATGCCTCAATGGCATAGTGCTTAAAACTGTACCTTTACCTTACACCATGACTGGAACAGAGCAAGTTGGCACAAGCAGTAATGCTTCTGACTTATATTCAGAGAGTGTCTAGTTTGAAGCCTAAACATTTTTTTTAAATTCGCAGCTGGGTCCATTTGGCACGGCGCCCACTGATTGGCCTATTGTACCTACCATGGGTGATTATGATGATGGTGAATTTGGTGGAATGAAGATGGGTGAGGGAAAATGAAGTACCCGGAGAAAAACTACCCCAGTGCCACTTTGTCCACCACAAATCCCACTTGACCAGACATAGGCCACCGCGGTAGGAAGCCAGCGACTAACTGTATGAGTTATGGTGCAGTTTGAGTCCTAGCTGGGACATCAACTATCCTGAGGTTAATCATGATTCTCCTGAGTCCCACAAGGCAAGCGCAGGAATATTACCTCAAAATTAGGTCATAGCTGCTTCCTTCCAAATCCTTTCCAATTCATTAATAATCCAATAATTTGATGCTACACAGCCCAATACTGAGTGTGTTGCTGAATAAACCCAGACTGCATTTATGTAACCAGATCACAGAATTTCAATAAGTCACGGTTTTGTAATAAAACATTAACAGATGAAATTTAAGCACATAAGAACTATTTGAAGCATACGAATATCTTATATGAAATCTCTGGGCATTTTTATGTGACACCTTTGCTTGTACTGCACATGCATGTTTTGTGTTTCTACAATTTACGCCACATCCTACAGTCATCTCTGACTACCTTTGGGGCCATGGAATGTAGTACAGTAAACCTTGGCTAATGAGGTTACAGTTAATCTGGATGTCAGACAATTCGGACTGAAATATGAAAAATGAAAATTTCTGTTCACAGTTGAATATATACTTTAAAGACATGTAGGATTTAGGAGCAAGAGGACTTTCAGACTGTGTTGAGGGCAGCTGGAGAGATTGAAACCATGCAAGAATATATCTGAGACTGGCTTGAGCTGGATGAAGGAAACCCTGGATTTCAGCTTCTGACAGAGGAAGAAATTGCTGCAGCCATATTTTGTGACTTTATCTTCATCAGCACTACCTACATTATTAAATTTTCCATCTATTTGTTTTCTAAGTTTCTGTTTGTGTTTTGTGTTAGCCCGTTGGTCTGTTACATCTGCAATTTGCAATAACAGAACAAGGGGCTAATGAACATAAATACAAGCTGCTCCAATAAAACACCTGGAGATAAACATACAGTTCTATAAACAAGTGGATGACAACCTTTGTGAGGTGGAATAGAATTTCACAAAAGTAATGAAAATTTTAATATAAAATTTTAATGGGTTTTATTTTATTATATTAAGTGGACTATGGCATGTGATTTTAGTGCATATGAATGCAGTGTAGCAGTTTTAACATATTAAGACACCTGTTGATGGCCATCCAGGGCTGAAAGATACATACATACATTTCATTTCATAAGTCCAAAACAAATGGACATGAAGGTCGTCATGTAAAAAAAACAGACACAAAAAATTTAAACAAACACACTTACTTACTTATTCATGGAACTGAGCCCTTCTGGAGGAGCTGCCAATTCTGCAGCTACTCAAGAATTTCCCAGCATTTTATGGAACCCGAAGGTTCATTACCGTGTTCACAAGAGCCCTCCACTGGTCCCTATCCTGAGCCAGATCTATCCAATCCATCCCATCCCATCCTATCTCTCTAAGATCCATTCTAATATTGTCCACCCACCTACGCCTTGGTCTTCCCTGTGGTCTCTTTCCTTCTGGCTTTCCCACCAATATCCTATACGCATTCCTCATCTCCCCCATTCGTGCTACATGACTTGACCACCTCATCCTCCTTGACTTGATCATTCTAATTATACTTGGAGAAGAGTACACGTTATGAAAACAAACACACAGATAACAAAATAATTAAAACTAATTGTTTATGTTATGCTCCACATATTCAGAAACCGCATAAAAGGAATTATTCATAAGATATAAAGACAGCTTATTTTTAAAACTAATTCTATCCTCTTCAAGGTTTTGAATGGTTATGGGCAATCTGTTGAATACTTTAATAGCGGTAAAAATAGTACCTTTCTGAAAAGCAGAAAGATTTGAGTTTGGCATATATAATTGCTTTCAATTTCTCGTATTCAAACGATGAACATCTAAACCTGAACAAAAGTGGAAGAAAGAGGAACAATTTGTTGCATTATTGATGGATTAGTTATACATAGACGTTTTAATATGGCTTGCAACAGGATGCTTAAATACAGAATTACAATAACACATAATAATAAATCATCAATAATATTGTATTTAAGTATCCTGTTGCATTAATATATCTTTTATACACAATATAAATGTCAACAATGCAACAATAACTAAGTTATCAATTATAACAACCAGTATTTTCAATCATTGCAGTTATTATGTGATGTGAAAAAGTGGATGTACAGTGGAAATGTTTCGGCATAGCTGAGACACTGATGATGGCCATTTGAGGCTGAAACATGTTGTGAAGGGAAGCAGTGGTGGCAATATTTGCATTATTGATGGAATTATATTGTGTACAAAAAATCTTCAAAAAGTTCATATAATGTGGTATATTGAGCAAATAAATGTAAATGTAACAAATTTAGTGACATGCACATATAAACAACAAAACTGATGGAATTATACAGTGCTGTATCATACGCAAAAGTGATGAGGGACAGTGGACTGGCGTTGGTCCTAGGATTAAGATTCAGATTCTTCTTAATGCCACCATCCATCCTGAATCCCTCCTGTTCTCAGCAGCAACTACTCTTCTAATCTTCTAATCCACTAGAACAACCCAGACTTCAAACCCTATAAGACAAAAAAAAAAGCAGAACTCAGAACTTGTTGTGATCCAATAATATGAAACTTCACTGTGTGGCCTTCATAGTGAACACACATATGAGCAGTGGCCAAGTACTGTAATTGAGGGCAATCAACTGATGTTGGATGTATGTATCACTAATAGGGAGACAAACACAAGTTTATTACAACACAGTCACTCCTCATCCACAAAGAATGAACATAATGATCCCAGCATACGGAAAGTATGCCTTCTCATTAACTATACATATAACTATAATACCCTTTTGAATAAATGAAATAATTAAGATTATGAAATTAAAACATTAAAGTATCTAACCCCTTCTGCAACACGTACCATTGGCTATTTCTTAATAGGAAAGTAGGCCGATACGTACCAGGTAGGATTCCGGTCTCAAAAACACCATAAAACTAGTTACATATGTTTTCTATCTAGATAGGCGGTGAATACTCCAGCATTAAGGACGTTTTACATTCTGCCCATGACCTCTTCTTTTCGCAATAATCTTGTGGAGAAAAAAGATTCGGTATAATATTCAAAGTAGACGAGATTACAATTTATTTTCCACTATCCTCAGTTACACCACTAAACGCTAAATAACGTGACAATTACCGAATGCTGTCTGAAACATCATGCTTTGTCATATGCGGTCATATGTCACCTACTGTTTAAATAGAGAACGAGAAACAAGTTCCAATCCCGTACTTTGCCGTCTACAGCCATACTTTCACTTTTACTTCAGGTCTCGCATCTCGAAAAAGTTTTCAGCAATCAACACGAACGAATGTTCGACCTGTTTTTCGTAACTATATTAGTTGGATGAAACTGGTATTATGGGATATATTTCATATATTTGCTATGCAAACATGATTTCTAGTGTCAACATTGCGCAACTATTGGTAACTAGGCACGTGTTGATCCCTCAGATTAAAAACCGTATGAGCCAATACCACATATACCTCCAGTGTAGCATACATATGCTGAACTGTAACTGCGCTGCAAAATAGAAACTCCTATTGCCTATATTGTAAACTCACACACTTCAATATTACGATCATTACGATATCTTCTACGTTACCTAACACCACTGTAAATCTTTCGAATTTAATTCCTTCTTCTCCTCGCAGATAGCGTCCCCCTCGTCAACATTCACTATACAGTCAGCCAACACAACATATGAATGCAGACAACACAAGAGCAATAAGTTACTAGAACTGAAAATCAACGTCTTTCCACCAAAGTAAAACTGTTGAATACACAGAATTTCGGAACTAAATGAACATAACTATTTTCACTCCCTTAAAATTCAACTGAAGCCTTTTAGAACATGTCACATAAAACGTAGCAGGCAGGAGTTAAATTTCATCCCACTATAATTAACTACATGGAGCTCGGCCCTTCTTGAAAAGCCGCCAGTTCTGCAGCTACATAAGAACTTCCCAACATTTTATGGAAACCGCAGGTTAATTACCGTGTTCACAAGAACCCTCCACTGGTCCCTATCCTGAGCCAGATCAATCCAGCCTACACCACCCCATCCTATCTCTCTAACGTTCAGTTTAATATTATCCATCCACCTATGACTTGATGTTCTTCCTAATGGTCTGTTTTCTTCCAGCTTTCCCACCAATATCCTATATGCATTTCTTTTCCCCCATTCGTGCTACATGCCCTGTCCATCACATCATCCATGACTTGATCATTCTAATAATTCTTGGTGAAGAGTATAAGTTACGAAGCTCCTCATTATGCAGTTTTCTCCAACCTCCTGTCACTTCTTCTCTCTTTGGTCCAAATATTCTCCGCAGCACCCTTTTCTCAAACACCCTCGGTCTACATTGCTCCCTTAATGTCAGAGACAAGTTTCACACCCATACAGAACCACAGGTAAAATTCTAGTTTTGTAAATTCTGTTTTTTTAGATTGCAGATGAGAAGACTAAAGTCTCATATTTTTTGCACAAAAATTAGCACTCAAAAAAGAGAATTCCCAACGAAATCTCCAATGCAACCCAGTCTAATTTGTAATTGTGTGTATATATACATATTACGCGGTACAGAAACAATACCATGATGAATGTTGTACAAGTAGCAAGCACGTGTAGACCTACCTAATTCAAACTAGCTATCCTGACTGAAGAGTTTTGTGGTTCTCAGAAATTCTTCCAGTCACATGGTGGCAGTCTACAACCGCTTCCTTCCACAGTATTTCCAATTCAGGACCATATAATTTGATGCTACAGGCCACTGTTCGAGCTACTGAGAGCGTCCTCAAATAAACACAGAACTACTAGTAGATAATGGCTGGAAGCAGAAGTCATCACCTATTCAGTGGGTGCAGCCGTTCTTTACCTTGGTCAAAACGGCCAGGCAATGAAGATGAACATTGTTCTCCATTCATTGCCAAGTTCAAGAATATGAAGAGCTTCACCGCCCCAACCCCACACATATTCATGAAACAGTATCCCATTAGACACAGTGTTAGTTTTGGGTTTCCTGTGTCTCGAAACATGAACAGATTTTCTGGTACTCCTGGTATCAGTAATCGGCTACTTGACTGCAATGAAGATAGTTAACACTTAACAGGTAAAAGGTAAATTGGTCCTTGTGCTTAATTAATTAAGCACCATGTCATAAAGACATAGGAGGGAGTGGAGGTATACTCCGCAATTCCTAACTTCGGCACTAGATGAAGGTGAATGATCAGCTTGACGCCTCGCCTGCTTTATCCCTGCAGGGCCTATTGTAGTAGGGGGTAGTTGTAGCCATACTGTCAACCACATCCCAGTTTTAAATTAAGAACATATATTTACTAGAGGCAATCACCTTGTTAGAAGATATTTATTTGTATGAACAATAATTATCCAAGAGGGACTTACGCCAATTCTTACTCTCAAGACGGCAACTCAGTCCGATTCTGGAATTTAAGAAAGCGGCTTGTTACATAGCTTCAAAGACAAACAGGAAGGCCCCTTCCTGTTTTTTTTCCCTAGAAATTCTACTCAAAATTTGCTCATTGGAATTCTTTGGGTATACGATCTCTGACAGGTCCAGGACACCATACATCAAAAGTGTTGAAGGCCCAGAGTCAACTCTACGGGTAGAATTCACCAAACGACTGTCAGAAGTTATGTTAAGTCATTAGAGTCCAAATTCCCTCGAATTTTTGAACAGACTGGAGGAACAGCAAATGAAGCAAACTCCTCCTGTTCAAATTTGACCAATCCTCAAAATTTAAGGTTTTGAGAAGTCATTCTGTTAAGTTAGTTGCATTCCAGCTCACCAATTGTTCGGACTCAAAATCTGTATCGCCATAAGTGTGACTATAAATTCTGGTAAGTGAGATTATGTAAGTGGTTAAAATAATAGTGAGTGTAACCACCAGCTGACTAGTGATTCAGCTTGGAGTAAAATTCAGTATATCCGAAATCCATTTGGAAAATTAAGCAAGTTGTTTAAGTAATTCTACAGGCACCAGTGCGAGTCATATATAAAGGAACACATATAAGGTAGTTGACTGTTCACCAGTGATTAACAGTGCAATAAGGTTTCTCTGTGAACAAGTGTTGCTTACGTAGTACAAAGAATTCCCCCTCCCTGTCTGAGCGAGACCCTGCTGAATGCCCTGAGACTGATTCTGATCTCTAACTTGAACTAGCACCTCAACACCAGCATCTCCTTATCAAATCTTCCACCCCTTCTTCACCAAGATTGTAAAGGAATTCAAAAATAAGTTTACTGGCACCCAACCCTTTACTAATTACCTGTCAACCAGAAGAGGTGGTGGTAAGAATGATGGGTGAGCAGAGTTAAGCATGCTGTAGCCGCAACCCACCAGCAGCAGCTCCAGCAGCCAGCGATGAGACAACCAAACAAGTAAGTGACACCCACCCAGCAAAAGTGGGCAAAAAGAGTGGTCACAAAGAAGTGGCGTCCAACTGTGGGGCCACGAGGGTTACATAGTGGATGTATAGATTCACATATTCTTGACCTAGGTGAGCTGTTAGCTTCACACATCTGCCTCTTTTTCGCTGGAGAAAGGGCCTTCAGTACCCACTGGACAGGCTGGGGAAGCCCCAGAAATGACATGGACGACTTAGAGAAGGTAATATCCACAGATCCCAAATTCTGTAGCCATGTTATTGTTTATGTCAGTTTTTTGAGCACTGGAGTTCCCAGTCCGGCTGTGGAAAGAAATTTAGTATGGTCCTGCAAGCAACTTGGTACAGAACAGCAGACATAGGATTTGAGGTTCTCAGAGCAGTGGTTATGCAGAGTTCTGTCTTCTAGAACATTTATAACTCTGTGTTGTCCACGAAAGTCAATGACAATGACAGGTTACTTTTCAGATCTCATACTTATAAAAATTCATTCTTATGCAAACAGTATGAAGAACTGAAATATTTCACTATTACCGAGTCTTTTATGTAATATCACTTTAAGAAGAATGGAAGAATGCTTATAAAGTATTCTGACTCACTAACAATTCTTACAGGACTCTAGAAGCAAATTAAAATTCTTGCATTTCTTAGACATAATAGAATGCAGAAATGTCATATAAAACTCGCAATACAGCCAGTTCTGCTGCCTTTTGGCTAGTCCCAATTCAGTTAACTTAATCTGCATCAAACTCTTCTTTCATAAATAATCATATCGAGAATAAGTTTCTAAAAGGTGCCTATACACAGTGAAGCCCCAGTTAAGGCTTCTTTGGAGGTCAGTCGATTTGAACATTAAATTGAGGAAAACCTTAAACTGAGGAAATTTAACACTAAGATTATTGCCTTTGGCTAATGAAATTGAATGTTAAATGCGAGAAAACCTTAATGATTTTTCAGGCCTTTTCACAATATTCAGTTTTGTTCAGGTTGTGTATTTTTTAAGCATACATCACTCGCATTCACATGGTAACTCGTTATATGACATTTCGGCCAACGAGATCACCATCATCCAGTAACATACTATTACTAGTGTCTTGAGTTGGTATGCTACAATATTTTACAATCCACCGTCATTTAAAGAAGTCTGAAGGTTAAATGTTTAAAACTGAAGGCCAAAATTCAAACTCTAGTACATCTATCCATGGTTAAATGGGACTGGAAAAACGCCATTTAAACCAAATCTTCTTTAAGAGGGGAATTTCTACCAAATAAGAAATCATGTAAACAGGTTAATAAGGAACAGAACATACAAGGTTACCACATGTGGGTCTGTAACCAAAAGGCAGCATGCCATCCAAGTCACTTTTATGAAGGAATAGTATCACAACTATCCATAATACAACTCCTACGCCCATCCTGAAATAATGACCACACTATACTAAAATTACATTCTTCACACAAATAACGTTAACATATAAAACCAGTGGCACTTCCTCTGACAAGCTGAGTTACTCCATCCTTTGAAGGCCTTAAAGAGAGGAAAGGATTTTTTCTTTCTTGAGGCAAGGGGGCAGACACTTCCAGTGAAGTCCCATCTCATGTGTTAAAAACCTGCTGAGAACAGTACCTGCCTTCCTCAATGATTCTTTCTAATTCATTGGGTAATGCACTAGCTGCCTCTACATCTGGACTTTAGTTTTTACATTTCTGATGCCTTACTTCTTCCGAAAGCAGTGTAACCAGCCTCCTGATGCACCAAATGGATTCACTTTGGCAGCTTTGTTATCTTCCATTTCCTCTTTCACGGCCTCACGTAAGCTTGATGCCTTGCCTTGAATGAGGGTTAGACTTATGGGGATGTGTTGTTGATATAAATATTTGCTCCATGTTGCCAGATGGCCCCATAACCTTAATTACATCACTGTTTTGGTGTGTAATTTTCACCCTAAGTGTGCTTTAACGAGTTAGGAGCTTTCGTTTCAATTTCCTGTGCACTCCTCAAAACCAGTATAAATTATCATCTCAGGGAGTCTGCACTGCACACTAACCTCTTGGCTTGCAATGAAAAACGTCTAATTTCACATCAAGATTATAATTGGTACTTGTACTCTTCTCCAAGTATAATTAGAATGATCAAGTTAAGGAGGATGAGATGGCCAGGGCATGTAGCACAAATGAGGGAAAATAAGAATGCATATGGGATATTGGTGGGAAAGCCAGAAGGAAAGAGACCATTAGGATGACCAAGATATGGGTTGGTGGATAATATTAAACTGGATCTTAGAGAGATAGGTTGGAGTGGTATGGACTAGATTGATGTGGCTGAGGATAGGGATTGGTGGAGGGATCTTGGGAGCACAGTAATGCACCTTCAAGAGTCATAAAATGCTGGGAAGTTCCTGAACAGCTGCACCACTGGCAGTTTCTAGAAGTCAGTTAACTGGAATGCTTTTAGAGAGACAATCATTATGCCTGTGTTCTTCACTCATGGCTCCAACAAGGCCAATATATTTTCAACACAGTCATTCAGAAAAGAACAGGAAACCTCAGACATGCTGAGCATGGGCTACGGTGAAGAATGGTATAGACGTATGGTAGGAGATGGCCCTGTGGGGAAGTGTGTGAGACTGTGACAGGCCAAATGGGAACCATTTTCTGTTGGTAAATTTGTGTGCCATGAATGGGATCCTTAGAAGTTGGGAGAATTGTTACATATAGTTCCTCAGTAATTTGGCCCCATATATGCATGGAAACAGATTAAAAGTTTAAGTTCTCTTCTTCTGTTAGTTTTGTGTGGTGTTGGTTGGTGGGTGGATGAAGATTACTTATTGTAATAAAGCTAAAACATAACATTAAATCAAGGAACACTAAACTGGGGCTTCACTGTACACAGTGACTTTTGGGCATGAACTGAGCCTGGGACTAATCAAATGAAAAGTAGGTGAGGCAAACACTTGTTCAGTAATACTTCAGGTGGATTCTTGAGTTTTGCTGAATGACAGTCACAAGGAATTAAAATCCCATGCCAATGTCCAGGAGTCACTAACCTAGGCAGATTTACGACAGCGTTACAAAATGTTTTACAGTTGTTATTTATGACTTGACATTTTAGAGCCCCTGCAAAAAAAATAACACTGCAAGCAAAGGCAGAACCAGGACATTTTTATTCCAACAACAGCTGCATATACAATTATCAGCCAGGATCAATTTACTTCAGAAGTAAGGACATCTTAAATATGGTACCAGGTTAACCTCTTAAATTATAAAGAACCATTAAAACACTGGAATATAAGAGCAATACCCACAAAACCCCTTCTTTTTTGTACACAAATTTTTAGATTCTTTAACAATTCTAAGCTACACTGCTAAGGGAAGCCAAAAAAACTATACATAGTAATTATATATTTCATGTGAATAAATGGAAAATTCTAAGTTACAAAAATCACATTTAAGTATTCCCAGCACCAGAAGCTACTCAGATCATAATCTTTCTAGACGTGTTCTAGATGTTCAACTTTCAGTATCCTATGCCACACCATACCATAAAGGAACCCTGCATTAAGCACAAATATGCATTTGGTATGCAATCTTTGTGTTGTTACTTTGCCACAGTAACATCATATAGTACAACCCCAATTATGAGGCTTTTGTATGGTAATCCCAAGATTGCAATACCATTAAGGAAGATCTGTTATGCTCTCACTTATTTCCACGTGCTTTTTCTTCTTTTCGAGATATTTCTTGTAACTCTGAAAATAAAAGGAAGAGGAAAATGAACATACGTGATCACATTTTTCCATTTAGCCCTCCAGTTCTCAAAACAACAGCCAAGATATAATTCACATACAGACACTTCAACTACAAACATGAAAAACTAATTTTCAAAATTCTATCCTTGGGGCTCAGAAAGTGTACTCGCACTGCCCAGTCACTAAAACGATGTATTTCATTGAACTGGTTTTACAGCAGTATTCAACCAGTGTGTCATGGGGTTACAAATGGTAATGGACTGCAGTGTATTGAACAATACAAGATGTGAAAGACAAAGCAAGCAACTGGACTTTTCACCAGCGAGTGGTATGAATATCTTATTTCAGCAAGAAAGGTTTTACCATAAAGAGTGTCCTGTCACAATTTGGTAAGTATGATCGGTACACCCACCTTAGAGAGTGAAACTGTATTCTGAAAATAACCTTAGTGAATCATTTAATATACGAGTAAGTATCTCATCAAGTTGCATGAATTTTGAATGAAACACTTTTCAATGTGGTAAAAATAAAATGTGATTTTCTTGCAGTTAAAACCGACTGACTGAATGGATGACACGGGCTCAGATATTAGTACCGTGTACCGAGACATAACTACCTAAGCATCTTTTGCATGGTAGGAGCTGGCTAAACACGTAGCAGTATCTCCCGTCGCCGCTGGTGATGGGAGATACTGCGACATCCTCCATACTCACCCGATATGAGTCCATGTGATTATGATCTCTTTGCCAAAATGAAAGAACCACTGCGAGGGACATGTTACAACACAAGAGAGGAGATTATTCGTGCTATAGGGCGGTCACTGCTGGGAAGTGGACATGCTTATGGTGTATGACACCTTCCACAAATTTGGCAGAAGGTGGTACACATGCGGGGTGATTATATTGAAGGAATGTAAGTGTGTTTAGCTCAGGTAAGTACAGAGGTGCTGCCACTACTTTTTATCCACCCTATGTACATATATGTATGTGTGTAATCCCAGACTCAGCACAAGCTTGAACAAAATTAGTAACAAAGGTACCATACAACAGAAGTACTCACTGCCTGTGCCATCTTACACAATGACTCTGCCATGGCTGGCCCCATTTGCTGCACCATCTGGTACAGGACATCATGCTTGCTTGTCAGTAACAAGTGTGGATGGTCAAATTTCTACATGGGAAAAGACACAAATTCTTTAATAGGGCATAACACCAACACATGATTAAAGATGCTAAAGCCACATCGTTCTAGGCTGTAGAGTATTTTAAGGGCTTTGGTCTGATGTGTCAGGTCAGTGAATGAACTTCATGCAACCCAATTTCTCAGAAATGAGATCCAGGTATCAGTCAAAATGGTGAGTGGAAGAATTCCCAGTATATCTGCTAGGATATTATATTTAAGCATCCTGTTACACTATATACGATATATGTTATAAATTCCGTCCTAAGTGCTACAATTTATTGTAGGTCTTTCGTTTTGCTTTCTTCTACACTACATGTTTCGGCCGCAAACGGCCATCATCAGATGTATACACTCACGTAGCTGTTATACTGCACCCAGTTTAAAATTTAAAAAACACACAGGTCTTCCCAACTGGCTAACAGGATCTACTTCGCTCATATTTGTCTGATTTGTACATCATCTCTGTCACCCACACACGTCAATTTTGACATTGATGAACTGGCACTTTTAAAATCTTCAGTTCCAATTTTAGAAAATTCCTTTAAATTTTTTTTTCTTCCAAATTTTAAAATTTAAAATTCTCAGGGTTACTCACTCCACGTCTATAGTGCTGCAGTGGCTACTTCTTGTTTTCAGCACTGTACAGGTGTTATTCTGTGTAGGCTCCGTGTGCGTGCCGCTGCTTATCTTTACTACATGTAGTAAAGATAAGCAGCAGTACACACGCACTGCTGTTGCCTCCGGTCAATGTAACTACATTTTTAGTCAACTGCTGCAGTATTTCTTGAACACAACTCTTTTGTTACTGACAACATCTGTCTGACAAATGTTCAATCAAAGGTGTATTCTGCTATGATATTAATGAAGCTACTCCTAGAGCTTGAGTTCTACAGCCCTACTGTTGCAGGGAACCGTGTGTTTACTTGTTCACTGGGGAAGGTGGCAGTGATGAAAGACAAAGGAGACACTCATATCAACTCTAAACTTCAATCCCCTTGCAAAGTGTCCCTAGCATACACTAGTTCTGTAATCAACATTCTAATCCCTACTGCTGCTGCAACACCTTTGAATGGCTGTGATCTGTTATGGAAGTATTTCCATATCCATATTTTATAACCTACTTTAGACCATAGCGATCACCTTCCACTTTTATGTACTTATTTCTGGGACACTGTGTACATCAAGGACCCATACACATGGAAGGAAGCTGCCAACTCACCACAACATGCCCAGCATCCATGATAACAATACGGTCGCTGTCCATAACTGTGTGCAGACGATGGGCGATAGTCAACACTGTGCAGTCAGCAAACTTGTCACGAACTGTTGCTTGAATCAATTCATCAGTCCTGGACAACCAGATAAACAATGTTCATGTACACTATTTCCAACTGCAGGAATCTCCAATGACAAAAGTAGAAATGCATTTTTAAGTTGTAGCCAGTTACTTTTGAGAAAGTTGATGGGTCTGCATGAGTTATGACATTCTGTACTGGAATTACAAGACCAAGACGTAATACTAATTTCACAAAATCAGGCTGCATATGTCCTGAGCACCTAAATCAACCATTGGATATTGTGGCGGAGAGGTCTGTACTCCTGCTTCATAGTTGGAAGATCCTGGGTTCAAATCTTCACATTGAGACTGGCTATCCTTCCTGAGGCTGTCTGTGGTTTCCTCAGATCCTTGAGCAAATGCCAGGATAATACCTGAAATTAGGCCAAAACCACTTCTTCTGCATCCTTTCTGATTCATTATTAACTGATTATCCCTCCATTCAGTGCAGTATAGTTCGAGGCACTGATGTCATTAAATAAATCACAAACCACCTGAATCAATGTAGGTGATACTTGGACAGCTGAATTTTAGCATCAGCTGAGAACGTACAGCTTAGAGCAGTGAGTTTCACAACTTAATTAGTGTGTCACAGGAGTAATTCAGTGTGTCATGGTTTATGAAGTAATATGTCACATAAATTAAGCTGCTTTAAACATATATTAATATTTTTATACAAATGATCATTTATATTTTAATTAATATTTCAACAGACAAATTAAAAAAGTGGACATTTAAACTGCAACACAAAAATCTGTACTGCAGCATCTTGTGGTGTGCTATGTAACAGTTAGAGCACAGGCCTAATTCCACCACATGCAACAAATATGTTATATGCCTAATTATCTATCAGGTTCATAATCAAAATATGTAATCCTTGTATACTGTATATGAACATCAAGATGTAAGCAGCATTTAAGGTTTTCAAAGCAGTGAAGTTCAGTCTTTGGGATATAATGTCATGTAGTCTGTTGATGGTCAACCAGTGTTTCAGAGGAACATGTTGCCTCCATCTTCAGGGGTGAACAAGAAGCCAAGCAAGAAACCAGCATGAAGCAGGCAACAATGCTAGAATTCTTCATGAGAATGTAAATTCATGATTGATTGATTTTAGTCTACTTTCCTTATTTTTGAGAAAAAAAAAGGCTCAAGAGATAACCTTGTCTTTGTATCCTCCCCTTATGTCTGAAAGCTGGAACAGTGGAGCCAGAATAGACCTGTCTATTGGACTCCCCTATCACTGCTAGAAAATAGCATGCACACATGCACACAACAAAGGAAAGTGGTGATCAGTTCCTATCAGAACCTATTTTTTGAATAATGCAAAAAAAACACACACACACACACACACACACACACACTGTCTGAAGTGCGCTGAAACTTAACCCAAGACTGTGAATGAACACAAGACATGTGTTTATATAGCTGCAGTTGGAATTTCAGCAAGTTTGTCATAGTATTGTAACATGATTGCTTAAACACTATCTGTTGTGTGGTAATGGCTAAATAAAGAAGCGAGCCATTGCTAGGCAACAGCATGCCAACACACTAACAATCAAAGCATCGTTGGAAACTGTTGTTTTCTATGCAGTTCATGCCAAAGTTACATAGGGATACACATACAGGAACCTGGCCTTCCTGCTTGGGGGTGTCAGATCTGAGACAGTAAAATGTGGTCACAAGTCCCACAGGAGTCTGGCCTTAGAATGACTGCGCTGGTTAGGACTAGCAGACAGCCTCATCCTCTAGTCAATGAGGATGTTACATAAGGACAATAACTGCAAGTGTTCAGTTGCAAAATCAAATTACTGGTTGTGAGTCTCAAGGAGCTTGTCACCAAGAGGAACTGATGGGTGGTAAACTGACAGTCAAAAAGTGACTCTTACTCTTGACTTAAACTTGATGGTGGTGAAGCTTATGACCATTCAAGCAATTATGCTGCCACTGTAGCATAAGATACATAAGACAGGCATGATCTGCTTTGCAAAGCCTGGCCTGACAAAGTACTTGTATAAATTGCAAAAGCAAGAATTTTCAGTAACTTGCTGTAAGTCTATAAGTGTGATACATACATATTCATAACAGACAAACCCATTTTCTCGTCACAGAGGATGTTACATAAGGACTATGATTGCTTCAGTAGAAAAAAATCTCTGGTTATGGGTCTCAAGGGGCTCGGAACCAAGACAAACCGACTGGCAGTAAATGGCCAGTCATAAAGTAACTCTGAGTTTAAGCACAATAGACCACTGTAGGTTGCAGTGCAGGGGCCAAGAAGGCCTACATACATTCAACTTTGAGTCTGGCAGTTGAGTCAGTTCCTGTCATGGGTTGGCTGTGAGACGATCGCCAGGCAGTAAGGACATGAGCACAGAAGCAAAGGAGTATCTATTGATGGGAGCAGCTACCAGGCAATGACTGGTGTAGACAAAGCAAACTGAGAAGACTTAGTGTGTAGTGATTTGTAAAGTGCGTGAATTAGTGAGAGTGTTATAATCCTTCGTAGTTATGAGGTACGAGTGTTCTATAAATCTGATTACCAACCCAAAACACTGTGTCTCATTACTAACATGTGACAATATTGTCACGTGTAAGGGGGGGTGGGGTTATGCGTGACGAAAATAACTAGTTCTAAATCGGATGAATGGATTGACTGGTTTTTTCTTACAATTACTCACATAAAATAATGTCTTCAACACTTCAACTACTCCACTGCCTTCTGAATTCTCTTCAACTGACAGCTTCTCAGCTGCAACTGGATATCTCACACATAATTCTACTTGTCTGCAAACTGCTCTACTTCTCTACTTGCTGTGCTCTGCTCTGACCTCCCTTCATAGCTTTGGGAGAACAGAATACAGATCACCCTGTTTTACCGTTCTATTACTGTGTTTTCGAAACTTCGCTGTATTGGAAACCACTGTAATTCCCATGGTAACCAATTCTACTTAGTGAATCACTGTCATAGAGATGCTTGTTCGGTCCTACGCATTTAGCCAACCATTACCTAGCAATAGCCATCTTTCCTGACTCCACTACTCAGGTTTTCAGGCATTACTTCGCAATATGAACAATTTGATGCATTTATGTCAATAAAAAAACTCCTCATAAACGCCTAATCATCTGGTAAAAATAGCAGGCAATTTTACTAAAATATATCAACAATAAGCTTTACATAAATCAAATATGGTGCAGTTATGCTATCATACAGGTAACATTACATCATCTAAGAATACTACAAGGCTGGCAGTCATGTTGGCACTGAAACAATGCAATATTTGTTCACCATCATTACAGTGCAGCACAAAGCCAATGAGAACAAATTCAGAACAGCCAATTTAGAAACATGTATAGTGCCACTCACTGTGGGTCCACATTGGCCGTGGCCTCATCCAGCACCAGGATCTTGTTGTTCCTGATGATGGCGCGGGCCAGACACAGGAGCTGGCGCTGTCCCACACTGAAGTTGGAACCGCCCTCTGACACCCTGTGGCTCAGTCCAGCAGGCAACTCATCCACAACCTGCTTCAGCTCCACTTCGGCTAACGCAGCCCACAATGCAGCATCTGAGTACTCGCTGAATGGATCCAGGTTCTCTCTCAGTGAGCCAGAGAACAGCACAGGCTCCTGTGGGATGATGGAGATCTTGGAGCGCAGGTCATGGAGACCTATTGAGGCAATGTCTATGCCATCAATTTGGATTTGACCACTCGAAATGTCTGCCAGACGGAACAGAGCTGCTATGAGAGAAGATTTGCCTGCTCCAGTGCGACCCACAACACCTACCTACAGGTTTAAGCAGAGACAAGAAATCACAGTTCTTATGCATCATTTACTTGTTTAATTTTAAATTACAATTCTTATTCTTGCTAGATGCCTTCTGTGAAGAGGACTAACATACTCTTGCTACCAGTCACATGGCCAGCAAGATGTGAATGTTTTCTGCTTTCCTCATGGAATGTCTGAAAATGTTAAAAGCCCAGTAAGGAAAAAGCTGGTATTAGTAATTAGTGAACACAGCATATTTTAAAGTGCTTTCTATATTTGTGTTAAATATTACAAGGCCCATAAAAGTTCTCGACACTAAGTTGCCATGGCACTTGAAGTTGTCATGAGGATGCTTCAAATATTGTTCCTATTACACTACTTGCGTTTCTCCAGTTCCTCTATCCCTTTTGCATCTTTATCTACTTTCTCCCCTGCTTTATAATCCCATTTATCTGCCCATTCTACTGTCCCTCTTCCCATATTCTAACAGTGGCAGAAGACAGTCCAGGTTGTTGAGTTTTCCCTGAGCATAACAGGAACATGTTTCAACTGCCATTTTATTAATTTACTTCAACAGTTCTGTTTTTTATCCTCGTTACTACATTATTAGGAAGTTTCTGCAGACTTACTACTGTTAAGCTGATGACTTTAGATTTCTTCATAACTTTCTTCACTGATTGCTTGAACACAGAAAAACCTCCATTTTGGGACCAGTGAATTTAAGTCCAAATTATCAAAAATATTAACTCGACAAAGTGCAACAAGACTACAGACTTGGGATTGCTGAAATTGAATGATGAATGAAAGATATCTTATGTTGACTAACATCAAATGGGGGCCTAACTTTGTAGTGATTACATATATTACCTTTTCAGCTGGTCTCAGAACAAAGCTGACATTCTTCAAGACAGGTGGCTCATCCTTCGAGTAGGTGAGAAACACTTTATCAAACATTATTACACCTTGGGAAGGCCAATCATCTTTTGGTTTTCTACCTGCAATAAATGATCAGTACTCATTAGACCACAGAATTATCCTAAGGGAGAATAAACATTCACAGTCTCAGGAAGCCTAGTGTGCCTGAAATGCTTCAGTCTTGTGAACACAGTGATGAACCTTCGGGATCCATAAAATGTTGGGAAATTCTTGAGTAGCTGCAGAATTGGCGGCTCCTCCGGAAGGGCTCAGCTCCATGAGTGAGTAAGTAAGTAATGCGAAGGGATTATTCTGTAATTAAATACAGTAAGTCTTATGATGAAATGAACACTATCTTGATATAATTTTGCATAACCTCTATTTAGAGAAAACATTTAATGTACGAAGTATTCACTACACAACATATTCACTCTAAATATAATTTCAGCACATTCTATCAATCATAGAGATTGAAACCAATCATATATATTATTATTTTTGTAGAACCAGCGATCACATTATAAAATAAAACTGTAAGTAGAATAAATAAGCAAAGGACTTGTAATTTACAATGAATGTGACGAAAAAGGAGTGCAATAGTTGGCTCTTCTTACAAAAATGCAATATAACATAACAGTTCCTTATATTACACATGTGCAAGGGCAAAGTTTATGTGTACACCAACCTGGGGGTGACTCCAGTGAAGGCTCCTTTTCAATTCTAGAGTACTCCAAGACACGCTCTACTGATGTCATCTGTGTTTCCAATTCTGCTGACTGCCGTATACCCCACTGCAAAAGTCCTGTGAGTGTAACTGCCTGAGTAATAGCAAGCCCCACACTTCCTCCATACTGGTCTGCAAGCATAATATTAATCATCAAACCCAATAATTATTATGTCAATACATAGGCTAATGTGGCTTGGAGAGGAACATGACAAGGCTGAAACAAATTTACGGTTTATTCATGGAGGGCATTAAAAGCCTGAAATGTCATACATGACATTTCATTGGGTCATATATCATGCATATCAAACTTCAAACCACTTAAGGGCTGAGATTTAAAACCCTACATGATGGTTACCTTATAAACTGATACAAATGTCTGCCCTGCAGTGACACGCTTTACAAAGCACAAGCTCACAAACAGGGCTTGCTATGCTGCGCCACTAGCATGACATCATGACATTTAGTTCGGTAAATCTGAACAAGCCAATACAGAGTTGCAATGAGACACAAATGTCTTGTGTAACATAGCAAGCTGCATGTGTAACAACCTCAGAAGTCCCAGTGGCTGTTCAGAGGTGTGAAATAGGTCAGTATATGGAAAGGTAGAGGAAGAATGTTGATGTGGCAGGACAGATGACTTACAGTGTCTGGGAAATAGGCTATTCACATTCAACTGGAAGAATCTGTTCAAAGATGAGCTGAAGTGGCTGGACAGAGGGTGTAGCCACAGCAGCGTCACCTATGCACAAGAACTAGATGTAAAATTGACAATTTCCTTATCCAAATGGTTGTACTATCTGTATGTATGGATTGTTGAATGGTAATAAAATGATAATGATAATGAACTATACAGGATGACTTTGAAATGTGAGGACAAACTCTGGGGATGAACTCCACAGACTCATACATGAAAACAAGTTCATATAAATGTGGGTTCAGAAATACCTTATTCCCGAGTTACAGCCCAGCAATTTAGTGAACATTTCAATTGACATTCTCAACTATGGTGGCTTTTATCTTTCTTGTAGGGCAGTAAAAGCCTGCCATAGGCCTACATTTGAAAATAAACATGTCCTAAATGACATATGTGTGAGTGAATATAGCCCCAGTCCCTGCACTGTGTTACTGTGAATACTACAGCACAGATGGGTATTTGTTTAATGAACTGGTAGACATGCAACCTATGGCCATGCAAGTGGCAGTGGTCATAGGGCCAAATACATCTGCCAACAAATATTCCCACAACCCCATCCAAACTGTGTAACATTTTCCGCCTTTGATCACCAACTTAACAGGGACTGGAACATTCAGTCTTTTTCTGTCAACTGGGAAAGACAGATCTCTCCAGACATTTGGCACTGAGGAGCATGTCCTGGACCATGAGTGCCAGCATGAGACAAATAGCAACAGGTTAAATGTTGCACAGATGACAGCCTGAAGAGTATTACTTGGGCAGTTGCTGTACCCAAACCATTTACATAAATCCATGGTCTCAAGCCTGCAGAATGTCCAGGCCGAGACTGTGTGCCGGTGGTTTGTCCCACAATATGCTGGGCATTCCTTTCATTTGTCAGTGCTCTTTTCAGACGAGTTAAGTTTTGCCAGACACCTTCATAAATTTTCAAAACCACCACCAGTGGGCACAGGATAATGTTCATAGTGTATGCCAGTCTATACACCAGCAACAGTTCAGCATTAATGTTTGGGCAGGTACTGCTGCTGACAGTTTGGTAGGGAAGCATGTTTTTTCTTCAGCTTACAGGCAACGACTACCAAGACCTCCTGCTAAATGGTTTGCCTGATCTACTAGAAGATGTAGCACTGGTGGTCAGAGAATGGCTGCGGTTCATAGATGATGGTACACCAACATATTTCAGCAGTGCTGTATGAGCTGTCCTCAGCAGTACCTATCATAACTGACGTGTGGGTAGAGAAGGACCCACTGCTCACCTAATTTGAATCTTGTGAATTTCTACCAGTGGGGGCACTCAAATCCCTTGTGTATTTAACTTCTGTTCACAACACAAAGACACTTCACTAGCACACTCTGAACATTTGCACACTATCAGCAACTATCTCCGGATTTCTAAACGGGTACAACAGTCCATGATAGGATGTGCCCATGCATGTATTCTGTCTCACAGAGGATATTTTGAGCACTTCTTGTAAATGTGTTCCTTCAGTGCTGTAACTTGGAAAATAATTGTCTGCAGACCCAGATTTACATTAACTCATTTCCTTGTTCTGGCACTTGGAGCTCATCCCCCAAAGTTTATCTGCACATTTGAGATTCACCCTGTACAAGAGGCCCATTAAGTGACTATGAACTACAGTTAGTTAATATTTATTAGTTTTCTAATTCATATGATACAGGATTCAAGACTGGATGATAGTGAGTAATGAATTTAAAAGGATGTCGTTCTAACACCAGCTGTTATGAACAGTTCTGTCCTGTGGTATACCACCATGTAACCCATTGAAGGTCAACTGATGTTTTGGAGGAACACGGCATCTCCATCTTCAAGGTTGAAGATTAAACCAAGCAAGAAACCAGCATGAAGCAGGCTCTGCTTACAGCCTGCTTAACTTCATGGTGCTGTATCCCAGAAAACTGAACTCTTCAGATGCAATATCGCTTGACGTGACTTGCTCGTTTTGTTAGTTACAGTAAAAATATTGGTTACACATGCTCTCGTGATGTTTGGATGCATAGCAGACAAGGGCAGGCACTCTACTCACCTCCACTCATGATGAAGAAGCTGAATGTAACAACAATAATGTACAAAAGGCAGGTGCTGTCCAGCCACACAGAAAATGCTCGGGTTGTTGTTATGAACATATACCATGCTGAAGAGTGCAAGTCCTGTCAGCACAAAACAATAAATTATTGATCTGCCAATATCTGCACTGCAACTGTACCTAAGGAAGAAGTTACGGGAAGTGCAACAAATGGCGCAAGAAACATACATATGAAAACAACTGTTTATCCTATGTGACTGTGAGACCACTGTTCATCACCTGGGCCAGTACTTCTTCGAACCAAATGACTATTATGATGCCCCCATAAATAGGGTCCTACATTTCATCCAAAGTGCAGGATTAATAAAAGGTTAATCAAAGGGTAAGTACAACAGATCAGTGATGGTCGTGGTGCAAGGGCCAAATTACTATGGTGCACGCACGCACACACGCACACACACACAGTGACATGGGGTTTGGATTGATAACTGGATTTACTGAACACTTATAACTTCTAATTACAGAGGATTACCACAGTCTCACTGAAATGCACGTTCCAGATCACTACAACTACAGCATGCGTAAAGTCTTGTTTGTTCGGCAGTGGTTGCTGGGTAGCAGCTCCAAAAAATAGACATTCCCCTGCTTCCAAGCTCATGTCCTTGCTGGATGGTGGCCAGCTCACAACTCTTTAACTCTCAACTGCAGCTGACTGGTTTCGGATGGCCGGTCGGTCAAACAGTGAAATTGCCGCTGGCTTTGCCAGCAGTTATTCCTGGTTTCAGTACTGGCTTGTTCTGTTTGTCCTTGTTATACAGCCTTAGAACAGAATGTACAGAAAACACCACTTCCAAAAATTCCTCTGTTGTTGAATGACATGTTAAGAAGGGTGTTGCTTAGTGATGGCCCAGCTGTTGTTGACATGGAATCATCACGAAACCAGGTCTCACTAAGGTAAGAGTGTACTAAGATGAACTTACCTGGTGACCATCAAATTCCTTTTCCAACATGGCCTGTGCACCAAGAGCTCGAATTGTGGTTAGACCTTGCAGTGAGGCACTGAGGTGAGAGAATACAGGACTCCTCGCTGCCAACATAAGAAATGCAAGTTGCTTTACTGTTTCTCAGCTAATGCATATCTGTTTAGGCGGTCACTTATTCCTCAACTATGAAGAAGTTAACAGAAATAAAACATGATATGTTTTACACAAACTGTGAGCTCTTTGCTGAGTTACACCACATGTCAGTATCTGCAACAGAGGTGCAGTGTGTACACATTCATCAAACACAATCATTATTTGAGTTGAGGTTTCCATGGTGGTGACTATGAAGAATGCCATTTCTGGGACGTGGCGCTGTGCACATCTTACATGAACCAACGTTTTGGAGGAACGTATGGCCTCCATCTTTAGGGTAGAAAAATTTACCAGTGAGGAACCAACATGATGGAGTCACTGTGTGAATGTTATGTTATTTTTGATGTGAGGTAGTTGATATTTGACATGTCCAATTGTAAGTCTCTACAGCTATGGATGAAATAAATAAATAATAATAATAATAATCTTTATGGAATGGAAAACAGCAGGAAATCATCAATGTGGCTTCAGAGTAGGTAAATCCACAATATTTCAGATACAGTCACTGAGGGAGACCCTGGAAAAAAAACATTGGAATATGGAGTCAGCATATTTAACCTTTCCAGAGGTCTCAAAGCCACCTATGACACCACAAACAGGGAGAAATTACTTAAGGCTATGGATGATTTTATAAACTTAATTGGGTTTGTAACAGCAGCTTTGAAACACATAAAACGTGGAGTTAAAATGCAAAACAATCAATAAGAACCATTTTGAACATCAATGGCCTAAGACATGGAGGTGCTTTGTCATGTATTTTATTTAACTTAGCATTAGAAAAGGTGGTCAGAGATTAGGAGATAGAAACTAAATGAACTGTTTATAATAAAGCAATTCAGATATTTGCATGTGCAGACAACACGGTTTCAGTGGGTGAGAGCCACAGGTGTGCTCAGAGAAGCAATGCAAACCTCAGTAAAGCAGCAAAGGAAATGCGACTTAACAATCATATGCAAAGAACTAAATACAATAACAATAATGGTGAGGACAATTCCTGTGGTGGTAATTGAAGTGGGTGTGAGGATAGTGGTTTTTGGGGGCAGCAGTGGTGATGGCACCTCTTTTGAGGTAGTTACTATGGTCGTATATGATAATGGTCGAAGTAACACTGGAGAAAGCAATGGTACAGAGAGCATCCTGAGATATAAGCCATCTAATGAAATGCATGTTCATTAAAACCAACTAAAAAAATTACTCTCCCTTGAATCATTAAGGTTGAAAAATATATCTATGATATGGCTCAGTGTGAAGTAACAGGATGAATGGGCTGCAAACAATTATACAGGCAATGCTGATTATTTGAAATTACACATACGAAAAGATGAACTGATAAGCTCAAGCATACAAATACCCTTCTTTGGATTCAGATCAATATGGTCCCATGCATAAGACAACAATGAATGTGATATGGATAAAATATGAATTTACTTTTACATCAACTTGTGTATCAAGTTATGATTCACTAGTGGCTGATAACATTTGTCTACCAAGTGAACTTAAGACATGTTACATTATAGCAGTGAATCATGGGTAATGACTGATGAGAGAGGACTGTAGTCAGCAGAAATGTGTTTCCTCTGGTGGACTGCAGGATATACCCTTTCAGACCATAAATGGAATGAAGAAATTAAGAGTGAACAGCAAAGTCCAGAAATAACAGAATTTATAGAGCACAGAAGATATTAGAAAGGACATGTTGATATGGCTAGATTCTAAGGGTTCTGACGATGGTGGATAACACAGAAAATTACTGGAATTTGGACTTTTCCATCACCTGGGTTTCTAGGAAACAGAAAACATGACATTTCTGGATCTGTTTCTGTCTTCAGTTGAGGAAGGAAGACACATCTACTAAGTTGGGCCCCCTAAAAGGAGTTAATCCAGTGACTGAGGTTAGCTCTTTTAAAGGGGCCCAACTGAGTAGGTGCCTTTCTTCCTCAATTGAAGACAGAAACACATCCAGTTTCGGAAATGTTGTTTTTTCTACTTCCTAGAATTCTGGGCAATGGAAAAAGTCCAAAAACCCAGTAATTCTGTATGTTCATACGGGCCCTGACAGGGTTCCAAGAAAGAGATCTTGCAATACGTGAGTAAACCAAATGGAAAAAGTTTGGGAACACTTGTTCTAAAACCTGCTGAAGGAATCAACTGGCCGAATACAGGAAAGGATCAAATTAATGCTGATGATGAATAAGCACTGACACTAACGCCATGGAGCTGAGCCCTTCTTAACAAATTGCCAATTGTGAAGCTACTCAAGAATTTCCCAAAATGTCATGGAAGACGAAGGTTCATTACTATGTTCACAAGAGCCCTCCACCAATCCCTATCCTGAGCCAGATAAATCCAGTCCATATTACTCCATATATCTGTAAAATCCATTTCAATATTATCCGCCTACCTATGTATTGGTCTTCCCAATGGTCGCTCTCATTCTGGGTGTCCCATCAATATCTTACATGCATTCCTCCTTTCCCCTTTACATGCTACATGCAGTGCCCATCTCATCCTCTTTGACTTGATCATTCTAATAATGCTTGAAGAAGAATATAAGTTATGAAGCTCCTCATTATGCATTTTTCTCAAACTTCCCGTCACCTTGTCCCTCTTTGGTCCAAATAATATCCTCAGAACCCTGCTGTCAAACACCTTCTGTCTATGTTCCTCCCCTAATGTCAGAGCCCAAATCTCACACCCATACCGAATCAGAGGTAAAATTAAAGTTTTGTATATTCTGATTTTTATGATTTTGGTCAGCAGATGAGAAAAGCATAAATACTGTGACATATTGCGCTATGCAGGACACCCCTCCCCCCACCATCGGAGCACTGTCGTTACTAGGGTAACAGGCAAGTCAACACTTCTTCCCCTGCCCCACCAGCGGTGACGTGACCAAGGGATGCCGCGGTTGCTATGCAGCCGTAAACAACTCCTGACAGCATTGCTAGGCTATTGGCAAACATGGCATCAGACAACAGTGGTGCCTATTACATAACTGTTTTCTGTGTTGTCCATAACGAAGGTAAATAAGGAGCAGCGAAGACTATTCAAGAGTTAGTTACAAGTTACGAGTTGGCCAGGGAAGAGTATGCAGTCTAGTATTTGTAATACTGCAGATAGCAGTAGTTGTGAGATTGTAAACTTTGTGATTGTATGAGTGACTGTGGAATAAATTCGCCATATCCAATAAGGCGTGAAGTTATTTGTCGCGTTATACACCCAACACGTGACAATACTATGCCTAAAATATAAATTTATTTTTATGTCAACTTACTGATTCCCTCCAGTCTTTTGACGCTGCGTGAGGTGGCCACAAAATACACCCTCAGTATGCAGAAAATAAGAAACATCACCGCTGCTGGGATCAACAACCAAACATTCACAACCGCCACCACGACAATAATACCGAGCAGTGACAGTCCTATCTGCCGGGAAACAGGAAAAAGGAAACAAGATGAACACAGCAGTGCAATAAGCATATGAAGATGGTTCCAGAACACAGATCATGAGTGATTCATCATGCATCTACCACCTCCCACCCCACACAACAATTTTATCAGATCTCATCTGATGCTACATAACCCCATAATTACCTCATCCATCATAAAACAATTGAACAAGTATAAATATAAGCAGGATACTAATAAAATAAATGTTCATAATCAATATAAACTGCATTTTGTTTGAAAACACAAACAGAAGAGACAACCTGGAAGATCCAGAAAGAAATGGAAGAATATTAAAATGGATCTTAAATACATATCATAAGAAAATGCCGATGAATTAATTCAGCCATGTTAGAAGTCAATGGCAGGCTTGTGAACATGGTATTGAATCCTTGGTTTGCATAAAGAGTGGGGTTTTCAGTGACTGTTAGCTCCTCAAGAAGGACTATACTCCACAGAGTTAGTTAGTTAATTAGGCTCCAATTAAAATCACCTGTTGCCAAAAATAATATTTTGAAATTATTTTAATGTGGCTTGGTTGTTCAACCTTACTAGACACCTCACAGGCCCAAAAAGGTGATTAAGGGCACAAACAGTGTGCCGTTAACTGATGCAATTAAAAGAACAAATTATAAACGAAATCATTAAGACTATAATGAACTCTTCCTTTATGAATCAACGTTTTTCAATAGGGTCCGCTAAATAGGTTACACTCAACAAAGACTAAATTCACATGTATCTGTTCACTGTTAGTTAATATTTATTCAAACTAATGAGAATTAATAAGCTATCAATATTTGAGTTTCATGGCTCACTGTCATTACACATACTAAAAGAAAACATGTGTGTATCTGTGTGTCTTACATATTCAGATCTGAATAATGTGCATTCTGATGTAATGTAATAACTGTCAGATTACAAACTGGGAGCTGCACACTTGCACAATAGCTGCAAAACAACTAAGTTACAAATCTCTCAGCAGTTCAGCATCATTCCACTTCATTTCAGAAGTGAGATGCACACTTCTTTTCAAAAGCCACAAGAAGTTTTGGGTCAATGAGTATTAAGTGTTTCTATACTTCCTGAGTGTCCAGCCATACAGTTTTACTAAAACCACAGAGACATTTGATTTTACATATTTTATGATGGATAGTAAACAAAATTTAGTAATCTAATTAAAAATTAATCAAGCTGGAAAGTCACAGGTTCTTGTCCCGATGAGGTGGATATTTCTTTCTCAATTTACCTAATCCTTCCCGCTGAACTATGGCCCTGGGTTCGATTCTAACAAAAATGAGTACCAAAATCTTCCTGGGGGGTAAATGGCAGCCGGCACATAAAGTTGACAAACTTACCACCATCTGTGAGCCAACTGTCTAGAGAAAATGTGGGATCCTCTACATCTCACAACCTTACTGTCCCTCATGGCCTGTTACAGGGATAGCTAATTAAAAATTAATCATGCCTGACTTTTGACTGGGATGGGTCTGTATAATATGCTGCAAGTTCAAAGTATAGTGCACCCTCATGTGAACCATCAAATTTCCACTGGAACAAATCCTGAGGCTCATTCCATTAAAAGTGTCCATCAAGTGAATTGACAATGTGGAGTTCATAATTCATAATCACAGTTCTCACTGCTTAAAATTAACAGAGAGGGTGGGGTGCAGAAACTTCCATTTTTTTTAAAGAAAAATTATTGCTGATAGACAAAATTTATGTTTAGCTAATGAAAGAACATACTTAAACAAAATATCTTGAAGGTGGTGGCCACTGTTCTCTATGCACTGATACAACCGTTTTCTGAAGTTCCCCTCTGCACGTTCCAACATGTGCACCAGAATTTGGGCTACTTCCTGCCAAATAACATTCTTCAGTTGAACCAGGTTTGTGGGGCGATGTTTAAAAACCTCTGCCTTGAGGTATCCTCATAAAAAAATCACAGGGCATTACATCAGGTGAGTGCGCTGCCCACGGGATGTCACCTCGAAGCGAGATGAGAAGTCCAGGGAACTTTGCCCTCAAAACTGTCACCAAAGCGCGGGCTGTGTGGGATGTGGCACCATCCTGTTGGAACCAGACATTTCCTAGATGCATTTCTTCAAAAGCTGGTTCAAAAAAGTTTTTAATCATGTCCACATATTGCTGTTAATTGACAGTAACTGCGTGATTGTCTTCTTCAAAAAAATAAGGGCCAATAACTCCAACTCTCGACAACGCACACCATACTGTCACCTTATCACTGTGAAGTGGCCTCTCATGGAGCTCTCTGGGATTGTTACCACTCGAATAGCACATATTCTGCTTGTTGACATATCTGGATACGTGAAAATGTGCCTCATCACTAAAGAAAACAAGTGTGTCAGGGGGTAAAGTTTCCAATAACGTTTCACACGCCGTTATTCGGTTCTGGAAATCACGTGGTGACAATTCTTGCACAACAATCATCTTATAGGGATGGAAATGAAGATGTTCGTGAAGAATTCGGTGCACTGAACGATTGGATATGTCTAGGGCGACTGCATGTTTGCAAAAGGCGTCTTGGAGATCTCAAAATCGACTGTCGAACTGCCTCCACATTTTCTGGTGTCGTAACGTTCCGTTGTCATCCTGATGATTTTTTCACCACATCCCGGTTGTCCTAATGTTCTCTAACCACAAAAGAGTCGATTTCTGGTCAAGAACCGGACCTCTGGGCTTAATTCCGAAATGAGTATGGAACGCACGCTGCACCGCCACGTAGGAATGGTTGTTTGAAAAATAGGCTTCGACAGCAAACGCACGCTGGTCACTCGTCCACCTCACGTTTCCTCTACTGAGGGGTATTAGACAGAAACTTCCGCGACTGCTGCGTTCGCCGAGCCTATCCCCACTTTTCTGTGATATCCCCTCCCTTCATAATGAGTCTTCACAAAAAGGAAGTTTCTGTGCCCCACTCTGTACTTCTTTACTCATGTTTTATGAGTGACTCCCACCTGTATGCAATCAATCATTGTCAAGGGAACAATTTCATCAACTGTTCCCATATCCTTCGAGAAACGGTTCAGTATCTGTCCTGGAAAAGAGCAGCAGATATGAATATGAATGCTTGTGTTACAAGAACAAAGGGGAACACAATTTACTCATTTATATTATCTTAACAATGCCACTGAAATAAGATCATACAATTGGATGAGAGTGAATAATGAACTGGGAAGGAATGGAGGTGGTTATAGCTCAATTTAAAGGTGCATCCTGGCATTTGCCTGGAGGGATTGATGGAAACCATGAAAAACCTATCAGGATAGTCAGTGTGTCTCACTTGATATTCAAACTGGGCACTTCCTGCATACATATCACAAGTGTTGCCGCTTGATTTAACTTTCTCAATGGGAAACAAATGCTGCATTTACAATATCAAGAGTCCGGCAGGCATGTGTGAACCACACAATCCAAGGGCAATCCTTCATGCCAGCACCACTCACTCCATCATGCACTCTCCAACTGACAAAGTCGCTTGCCTCCTTATTAACTCACTCACTTGGTTGGTCATTAAGCTGCTAACTCACTCACATGGTTGGTCAATTACTAAGTCATTAAGTTAATTTTCCAACATGAATTGTTAAGGTATCAAGAACAGCTATTGACAACATATATATATAAAAAGACTAGAAATTATACAATTAAACCAATAATTAATTCTTTGGCGCAATTCAAGGCATTCTTTTGTCTAACCTATGTTGTTAAAATTACCTGAAGGATTGCTGTTGAAGAACCGCATCGTGGCACGAGTAATGCTGGTAAACATTGCATTGTGGAGGTTGATGGATGCTCTCATGCACATTGTGAAGAAGCATATTACACTACACACTGATAGTATTATGACAGAAGCCACCAGGCCAGAATATACATATATACATGTCTCTCTACTAGGCAGCCAGCCCCACTCTGCCACATCTGTGGTAGCGCTGTAGCCTGAATTGCTGTCTTGATATGAAGCAGTATCATTCACTATTGGGCCTGTCACATTCTGAGAAGAACCACTATTGGCTTCAGACATAATCAAGCGATGTTCTTCTACAGTTGACCTAACATATCATCAAGAAATCTTTTATTAAAGAAATATATGTATACATAGATAATGAGAGCCCAGTCAAAGGTTTCTTTGTTTAGCCATGAATTTGAACACTGGAAAATCATGAACAGGGGAAATATAATTCTTAGAAAACTGACTTGAGATCATTGAATTGAATTGAATGGTAAATGGGAGAAAAATGTTATATTATAGAACTTTACTGATGTTTCAAATGAAAGTACATTCTCAATCTTCAGTGTCAAAGAGCAAGATAAGCAAGGAAGAAACAAGTCCTCCTTACTGCTTGATTCTCTCCCCCTCCCACCCCTGAAGATCACAGGGTGTCATGACCAGGAAGATGGTATGCTTCAAAATTCATCATTCTCATCAACTCCCCTCAGCCATTGACAGCCCTATGTTCAGTGGTTATAAAATAACTGGACTGAAGCTCTAAAATCTGTTATTCATCTAATCACACAATGGAAGTGTTATCACCTTCAAAGTTGTCCCGTCCCCGACCCCTACACAGCTCCATGTGAAGTTTCCACTGCTGGAAGCAATGCTGCAGGTACTTTCCTGATAGCTGCTTCATTACCTCTGTCGCCTTGGCCTTCACTGCATCTATGGACTCAAAACGGGTTCCTGTTAATGCAGACTTGATCTTTGGAAAAAAAAGTCACATGGCGCTAGGTCAGGTGAGTAGGGTGGATGTTCCAACATGGGGATCTTGTGCCTCGCCAGAAACATCTTGACAGACAGTGCATTGTGTGCCAGCATGTTGTCATGGTGAGGAATCCATGAGCACTTCTTCAACATTTCAGGTCTTTTTCTTCTCACTTGTTCATGAAGGCCTGTCAAAACCTCCTTACAGTAGACCTGGTAAATGGCCTGACCTTCAGGCACCCAATCAATGTAAACAATCCATAATATTGAGGGAGAGAAGATAATCATTGCTCTGAAATTTGACTTGCTCTTCCATGCTTCCTTTTCTTGGTGACCTGGGGCTCTTCCAATGCATGGATTGGCACTTACTTTCTGGGTCATAGTGAAAAAAACCATAATTCATCACAAGTTATTACAGATCATCTTCAATGTTTTGAAGAGTGTCAGCACAAATGTTCATTCGAGTTTCCTTTTGCTCAGGAGTGATGATTCTTGGCACCATCTTCAAGCGCCTTTTTTTTTTCACGTTAAAATGTTCATGCAAAATCTGTCAGACAATTTCATTATCGACGTTAGCTAATGCAGCAACTGCTCGAATGCTCAGGCAACGATTTCTTCAAACAATTTCATTGACTTCTTTAACGTTAGCATCTGTTTTTGACGTGCAAGGCTGACTGGGGTGCAGATTGTCTTTGATCTCTCCCCTTCCCACTTTATATCTTTTGAACTATACAAAAATTTGAGTATGATATAAACATTCATCACCATAAACTTCCATTGACAAACTGTATGTTTTTGTAGCGGATTTTCCAAGTTTTGCAAAGAATTCACATTGACATACTGCTATACTTTGACACTTAACGTAATTCTGATGGAGCTCAGACACACGGTCCACTTCAAAGGCTGCTACCACACTGTTGGCCATATGTCCTTGAAGTCATAGGGCTGATGGAGAGGGGATGACAAGCTAATATGTCACCCTGCTTGTTGTTGCCATGGCCACAGGGAGTCGGCAAAAAAAAAATCAGTCCAGTTATTTTATAGCTGCTTCACATGTTGTACCCATCACAGTCTTCACATTACTGCATCAACTGTTGACATTAATTCCAATTTCTTACTTGTGATACAAAAGCCAGTTGATGTCTGTGTTCAGAGGACACAGATACTCTCAGTGCCTAACAGATGGGGTTAATCATCAGTCTCAAAACATCATCTGGTAACATATGTGCATACTTCTGTGTCTTTTTAATTATATGGGTCCTCTGAGTGATATTTACCTGAACTGCTTTAAGTGAAGGAGAAGAAGAAAGGGTTGGGGAGAGGAATAATGATAGACAAATAAAGAAGATAGGAAAGGAACAGTATGAAAGGGTTAAAGGAAAGTAAGAAGTAATACATCTGATTGGAGGAACTGAGGAAAACCATGAAAAGCCAATGTCAGGATAGCCCGTCTCTGGCAGAACTCCCAGATATGCAGCAGGAGTATTGCCCACTTGAACGTAAAGTTCATCGCTGCTCAGATGTTCGAATGAAGAAACATGTAGAACACTGTTAATGTTAGAAGTGCTCCTTGCAAGAGAGAGGGTCAGACAGGAGAATGACAATAAAGTGACTTTTAGAAAAGTATGACATAACTTTTCTTGAACTGCCTCATAATAATGTTCATTGGTATCAGCAGTGTCCTGTTACTGAGATATTAAGTGTCTTTTACTCTGCAATGCCCTGTTATACATACCAATAGGACATCCAGTAATCTCCTCCACTGATGGCGAGCTGTGACAGAACACACAGGCCAAACACTAGGAGAATAACCATACAATTCCCCCCAGCAGAGAAGTAGACCCAGTACACTCTGGAACCTACACTGCCCCGTGCCTGCATCTCGGCTGCCATCTCAGGTATAGATCCTGCCACTGAGCTCTGTAAATCAGTGATGGAGATCTCAATGCAAGAAGACAACATACAGCACTCAGTCACTCAATCTCTGCTTTCCTAACTGTCATCCTGAGCCATGTTTACGTATGGCTCGATCATAGTTTTTGTTGTTATAGCGGGATGGCCGGGTGCTCACCTTCCCCATCCCCCCCCCCCTTCCCATGTTGCATAATATGCTCTGCATTCTGGTTGATCGCCTGATCTTCCCCACCTTCCTCCAGCTGTTCTAGGCCAGGTCCAGGTATGTGCAGCAAGGATGGTTCTCAGTGGGTTACTAGCCGTTAGCGAGGTAGGTGGTGAAATTCCATTTCAAGGGTGTGTTGGAAACTGTTTGGGGTTTTTTTTCCTTCTTGTGTCCGCTATTGAGGGCAAGGGACCCGTGAAATTGCGACGTAGGTCTGGAGCGTAATAAATAGAGATTACAAGATTCTCTGAGTTTGTGATATTATTTACTGTTTGTGTGAGCTCAAGATTTGTAACTGTATTATATTCTGTTGTGTAGTAATTACCGAGTTATATTTACTGATCCATTGGTTGTTATCATTTATTGTTATCAAATATTTGGCTACTTTTGGGGATACCGACTATCACTGAGTAATAGTTGAAGCTTGGACACCCCAGTCTACCCTGGGGGTGGTGGGGAACACAAGTGAATGAGGGACAACTGCAGCGACCCCCCCCCCACCCACAAGTTCAGCAAGGTAAAGAGGGGAGGAGATGTTCAATCCTGGGGTCCTCTCTGGTCTATTTTCCAAACCATAGATAAGGTGTAAAGAAATCCATGTTGGCCACTCCACTGTTTCGCTGCGAGGCAACTATAATGTGGATTAACCTTTATCCATCATACCTTGCAACAATGCAATAGGGCATGCATGAAATCTGGCTGGCTGGGTTGCATGTACTGTATACAGCTATCTCAGTGTTAATTTCGGACTGTAATACTAGGGGATTTAAAATTACATTTTCCCATCATAAAGATGCATCATGTCAGCCCTTCAATTTTTAGATCATCAATTTATTGAAAGCAGAAACAGTTCACTGTCTACCACATGTACTGCAATCATTTCAGCAGATTTAGGCACTTTCTCTTGTGATGGCAGAACTGTGAAGAGAATGAGCACTGCAAGAGGCATGCTGGAGTTGGCCAACGTGCAGAAATTACAGGTAATGAGATTTGGAACACCACAATTTGTGTCCATTTAGAAGACAGATCAATAGAAATTAGTCTTGCACGAAAGGGATAACGTGGGATGTATATTTCCATCTCAAATGCAATGTATGGTTTTGTCCCAACGTTTCTGTCGGCACATGTCAGTACGTCTATCACTGGGTGTACGTCTACCTGTATCTTGTCAAAACTGGCCTGCTCTATGTCAAAATGATATACTATATACTGTGTGTGATTGCAGTGCATCAAGTTCCATCAGCAAATACACTGTCAGCAGCTGTGTATGGCTGAAACAGGTAGTGACATAAAGGAAAAGACAGTGAGTTGCATTTGCGATGGAAGACAATGTATTGTGGCGTACTGGCTCTATGCAGAAACTGTTCACCTACACAGGCCTTGGGGCACGTGTGCAACGTGAGAGTTGTGGCTGGTATCAGGGCGTTGCTAGGCGACAACTCTGTGAACGCTTGGATGGTGCTACAGGAAGTGCGAGTGACGTCACATACCCCCACTCATCCCATTGCTGCGTGACGCTCGGTAAACACACCTGACAATAACTGATATCTGTTGCTGAGCAGCAGTGTGTTGTCTATGGAGTCCGGTGCTGGGCAATAGGCTGATTTCTGTGTGGTCAGTGTGGAAGCTACATAATGAGAGTATTCATCAGTGTTGAGCGAGTACTGAGTATTGAGTTGAAGTCTAGCAGTTACGAGTTACAAGTCTTGAGCAGTTGAGAGTAGTGGAAGCAGGTGCAATGGAACCAGGAATGCCAAGTGTAATTTAGAAGATTTCAATGTGTAACGGTGCATGAAACAGTGGATTACAAGATCTGGTGTAAGTCGGCAATAGAGCTGTACTGGAGTGTAACTGAGACAGTGTGTGTAACCAAGCTGTCAATAAATCCAATAATCTGAACTAGAACCCGTCACTTCGTCACGTGTACCCCTCTACACATGACAATATGTAGACAAACAAATACATCAATTCAGCAGGATGTTTAAATACAGTACAGCAGGAAATTAATTTCAGAAAAACAGGCAGCTAAGTGTTTCTTGCAGTGCACTCACTTTCAAGTGTTCTGTTACTGTTGGAATTCTTTAAGAAGTTTAATTAACATGTATACAGAATCTATCCCCTCTTCTCACTCGCACTACATGTTTCGGCACAAAAGTGCCATCTTCAGGTGCTGTTCCANGCAGTCACAGGAGCAAGACGCAACACAGAGCACAATACACGATACTGAAAGAGTGCTCCAACAGAAGATGATAGACGTGACTCGCGTAATGAAACACGACGTAGGAATGAAATATCCTGTACAATTTTAATATTTTAACACTTAACATTTATCAGTATATATGATAAATATATATTTTAGTTATTTTAGTGTGTATAGACAAGGCATGCAACGAACTAGTTTGTCATGGATTGGAACAGCACCTGAAGATGGCACTTTTGTGCCGAAACATGTAGTGCGAGTGAGAAGAGGGGATAGACGAATGTATGCACTAGAAGACGGATAAAATAAATCATGGACTTAAATCAGTGCAACAGGACGCTAAAATAGAACATGTATACAGAAGATTACTCAAATAAAATATTCCCTCTAAATGCAAAGGTTACATCCTTAAAAACCTTCATGGTAGGAGAATACTCTTCTGGAAAATACTTAAGTCTATGGGACAGAGGGGTTAGATTCTACATGACCATGGTGACACCCATCAAATCCCATCAAAGTTGTATATTTGTTCACTAAATACAATGCAAGGCATTTTTGCCATTTGCTGAAATCTGGGTAAACTTTGTTTCTAAATTGTCAGCCATACAGGTGTGCTGGTTCAGCCATACTGGTATGAACCTGAATTTGGTTGGGGGGGTGGCTTGACTTAAGCCTGAGTAAGTCAACAATTTGTGGGATGCTCTAGAAAGCCTCCATGTGTTATGGTCATTTTATTTCATTATTACTTAAATACAGATTTTGTCTACATTACATCGGCCACACATAATCTCAAAATTCACAAAACTGCTGTGCTTGTACTCACAATTACAGACTTACAAACAATAATTCACACATGAAGTGTAGACATGCTTATGATGTATCTCCACAACAAATTTCATGAGCCTATATGCAGAGGTGCAATACCGGCACCACCAAGCCAAGAGCTAAAGACAAGGTTTCCATCAATGAGATTACTTTGCATGCTTCAAGAAAACTCCTTAACAAAAGTTGCATATTTCTTCAAGACGTGTAACCAGACATCAATCAAGGTATGTATGTATGTATGTATGTATGTATTATGAGAGGGGGGTGTGTTCCCCATGCACTTAGACCAGTTATTGGTCCATTGTGCATCCCCCTTTTAATTTCTACTGTCGCCATACCCTACCGGTAACGGTGCGAGCCACCAGCCCCCGTAGAGCCAACGAGGTCGGCCCCCGGTACCTTGATGCTTCCCCCATCCACCAGAGGCATTGGAGACTACTTGGGCGGGAAAGGGCCTGTAATTTAGCTCAGAGGTCTCCTAGAGACATGAGGTTCTTTTACGTGCCGTAAATCTATGACACAGGACACACGGCTTAAAGTCCCTCCGGAGGACCTGTTCCCTGAATTTTTCCTTAAAAATTCCACGACCTCCGCCAGGTTTGAACCCGCATACCTTGAGTCATGAGGTGGGAACGTTACCCCTAGACTACGGAGTCCGCTTATCAATCAAGGTAAGTGACAACAATGTTGCTTGCACTCACAAATTCATGCACCCACCATGTAATTACTGACTATAGTTCACTGTTCAGGTAGCCTCCAATGGCCTAGCATTCACACTAGTTTCATGAAAATCTGTCAATAAGTTCAAACAAAAGTTGAAGGGAAGGACATGCAGACCATATGGTGATCTCATTTAAGAGTATTTTCCTTCCATAAGAAAATAAATCAGGCTGGAAACAGTTTCCTGGGAAGGGCTTTAGTGCTGAAATTATTGTAAAAATACAGAGCTTACCACTTCAGATGATCCTGAATTTTGATGCTGAAGCCTGTTCGCAGAACACTGTGACACACAGTCATCAGATGATCTTGCACTCATCCTGTTTAAGTTATCATCCATAGTCTCCCCCACCTCTAATTCAAGTTGTTTGGCAAAGTCCAGTCCAGAGTTCTGCAGTTTGGTGAATGTACCTACAGCCTCTACTGCCCCCTGCAATGCAAACAGAGGTACAACTGATAAATACTGTTCTTTTGGAAATGTGTGCTCTGTGATTTCCGTGACTGAACCTGGTGGTTAACAGAGAAACTTGTCATAAAGACATCTAAAATTTAAGGCTGTAAAAACTTTAACTTTCTAACTTCCAGCAATCAAGCCACTGTTTGAAACATTTCCTGAAATAAACTGTTTGAAACTTGTCAAGTGTGCCCTACAGTTTTCCTTGAATCATGGTGGCATAACCAAATCTCCTTCCATTTAATGCCTCTTGAGTTCTGGAAAATAAGAAGTCACATGGAGATGATTCTGGTAAACAAAGGGAGTGCTGTGGAACAACACTCACATTGTCATCAGCCAGAAATTCATGCTCAAAGCAGAGCGAGAAGGTGTCTTGTCATGGTGGGGAAACCAGTGTCCTAATTCCACTTTTCAGATAGATTCCACTAGACATTTCCCCAAGCTGTCAATGTAGTAATGCTGGCTTATAGTCTGTCCTTCTGTAACAAATTCATGACGCATAACTCCATGAGTGTCAAAGGAAACAATGAGCACTCTTCACATCTGAGTAAACTTCTCTTGCATTTCTGGGAGTGGAGACAATGGGCTCTTCCAGTGACATGACTGTTGGTCAGTTTCTGGGCCATCCCTGTAAACCCACATCTCATCACCTCTTATTATCTTCAGAAGGAATTCTGAGTCTCTTCCAAGCCTCCCTCGAAGGTGCTGACACATGTTGACAAGATTTTTCTCCTCCTTTGCATTCATCACATGGGATACAAATTTGATGACAGACTGACGCACATTCAGATCTGTCTTTCAAATTATCTGAACTTACCCAAATTAAATTCCCAACATGTCTGCAAGTTCATGGATAGTGATTCTTATGTCCTTCACTCGGCCTACACTTTTATCTGTTTGCTTTATCGACGGATATCCCAAGCATTTCACATCTTCAAAAGGGGGCATACAAGCTTCTGAACTTGGAAAACCATTCAAAAACTTGTGTTCTTCCCATTGTCTGCTATCCAAAACATATCCTCAACAGTGTGAAGTTCTCCATAACATTTTATCCCCACTTAAAGCAAAATTTCAGGCATGCACAGATCTTTCAAATATGCCATTTTCTGGATGTGCAAAAGTCACAAATGGAATAACACACCCTTGCACTTAGCAAGGCATTCCTCAAAAATCGCACATGCTAAAACCTTACTGCAAGCAGGAAATGACTCAGGCCCTGCTCTATCTGCATCTAGCAGTACAAGTTCATGTCAGGAGCAGTAATGGAGAAATAAATTCAGCCAGAAACTCTTTTAATCACAACTTGTATATATGGGCAAACCAGAATTTAAACTTCACTTTCCACTTACTGCTGTTACATACAACACACTCGTAACACGTGTTCCATACAACTATAATTTTTTGAATTCAGACATTCTTTCAAAGCCCACTTTAATCTTTGGCATTACCTATTCATCACTGTCATGTATACAGTGTGCGACTATAGATGGGATTTGGATTCATGAATGGATTTATTGACCACTTATACACACCACTCAGAACTACAAATATTTACCATGTTATCATTGATCTCCACAATTCACAAATCACCCTTTTCCTTTTTCCAGCCTTGTGTGTCTTCATCAGCTGTTCCCTGGCAATGGCTTTAACAGTGGAGATTCTTCAGCTTCACGTGTTCAGGGTTTCCAGGTTCTATCTTCACTGCTTCTCACGCAGAACTCTCTCACAACTCTCTACTCAATGACAACTGCCAGGCTGGTGGCCATTTCACACCATTTCTTCTTTTCACAGGCTGACTTTCAACTAACTCTTTTCATCACAGCCTCCCATGCACAAAAAATGTAACAAAATATACTTATGATTTACTGAATCTGTGATGCAGAGAGACATATGTACATTATTGAGAATAATGATGTCATCAGCTGTGTGGAGGTACTGCAGCTGATGTGTGACCAGCACTCTAGTCTTCCCCACAAGGAAGCCACAAATACAATCCTCAAACAGGTGACGCCCCACACGTGTGTCCACAGCGGACAGTGGATCATCAAGCAAGTAGATGTCCGCTTCTTTGTAAATAGCTCTGAAAACAGAGAAATAAGTACCTTACTGGGCACTAATTACACAAAATTCACAGAATAAATGCAATCACGTTTGTTCTATCTGCATGCTTCATCTCTGAAAATACTGTCATTGTGTTAGTGACTTGGGACAAGGATTGGATTGATCACTTAAAAACTTGCAACTACAGGTAACTATAACAGTCTCACTAATTTACACACTCTAAAGTTAACTGTAAATACAGCACACATGAAGTCTCCGTCTTCGCTCGTTGTTGCTTGGAAACGGCATCTAACAATGGATATCCTTCAGCTTTCTTGCTCGTCATTGCTGGCTAGCTACTGTCTCATAACCATCATGTGTCCAGTCCAGTAAACTGATGCTGGCCCACACCAGCATAGTCATTCTTAGTTTCAGGCTCCACTGGGACCCATGATCGAATTTATGTTTGTTCCAAGTCAAATTATGTGCTTCAAAATGGGGTCTCCTCTTTGTTAAAAGGAGAGGTTTGTCATTCTACGTAGTCACCATATTTGTTGCATGGTAATTTTTCACGAGTGCAACAAGATAAAATTGATGTTATATAACAATGAGTTGTTGTTTACTTTCCATACAGTACGGAAAATTCTTCGTAAGATGAGGCACCAACTATAAAATTAATTAATTTGCAACATCATGGGCCTCCTATGCATTCTTATATAAAAGAAATATTGAATTTGTAATTTGTCCATGGAAACGTATGAAAAATAAAATATCAAAGACTGATTCGATGTTATATAACATCAATTTTATCTTGTTTTATACAATAACTTTTAGTTTTTTACACAATCTGACTTACTGTATTTTTACGCAAAGTATTTTAAATGATTAATAACACTGTATCCAATCTAATGTACTGCATTTTAATGGTATATGTTTGTTAACACGTGTTTGCCTGATGATGGCCGTTAGTGGCTGAAACATGTAGCGAAACCATAGCTGGGCGGTCCTTGATTTTTTCTGTTTGTTGTGTTGTGACGGTAAATAAAGAGTTGTATATTGTAACACAACAGGATGCACGAAATGAAAAGTAAAGAGTACTATCTCCTGGGATACACTGACATATAGCCTGTTTAAAGTCAACAATCTTCAACCCTCGAGGTCTCCAGTAACACGTTTCTCTGAATGTTGAATGATTTTCAATGGACTACTTGGCATTATATCCCACAGAACATTCAGAATAAAAGTCAGAAATGTTGCTACTTGAGCCAACTTATTTGGTTTCCATTCCTTTGGTATACAGTTACAATATGCAAGCATGATAACATGATAAGTATATTATTAAAAAATATGACAAGTAACACGAAAGTACAATCATAACTAAAAACATCAATGAAAATAATATGAAAATATGTGATGTATTATTTGGTAATATTCATTCATAATTTATATGATGTAATATGAACACTGACAGGGTACAGCAACCAAAGGGCAAAGAGAAGCAAAGCAGAGTATCCAATACAAAATTCAAACCACTATGACTGCACTTTTATAAACAATGAAAAAATAACTAATAACTGTTCTGATGGAAAAAAATAAATCAGCACTAGGCAAGCAACAAGATAACGACGCACACAAAATAACAACTGAAAATATATGTAATTCCATTTGGGGTATAGAAATATACTTTTCCTATTTATTCATTAATAACTCAAGAACAGAAAACACAGACACAAATATAGAACACTCTCTCTCCTGTGCAGGTATATCAGAAAAGCTTCAGAACTTTATACATTTCTAGCAATCAATCACAGGAAACATTTCTCACATCGCTAACCTTAGCAACTTGAATCAGAGTGACACTCCTCTCCCCCACAATGGTCCTGTAACCATGAGACAGCGGCTGGAAGTCCCGTTCAAGAGCATGGACACTCACCTTGCCAGACTGATCCTCGCCCTCTGCCCACCACTCAGGGTGACACCCCTCTCCCCCACAATGGTCCTGTCACCGTGGGGTAGCAGCTGGAAGTCCCGTTCAAGAGCACAGACCCTGACCACTTGTCTGTACCGGTTCCTGTCCATGGGCTGCCCAAACAGGATGTTCTGCCGTACAGAGCCTGTGAACAGCCAGGGCTCCTGCGATGCATATGATACTGATCCACCCACAGAGATGGAGCCACTGTTGAGGGGCAGTTCCTTCAGGATGGCATGCAGCAGTGATGTCTGCAACAGTAGCACACACTCATTATAACATCAGCCTGTGTACCAAGCCCCCAGCACTGCTCATTCCTTCCCCTTTCTTCCAACACAACTGCAGCTCACCTTCCCTGAGCCGACAGGTCCGACAACAGCCACAAGTTCTCCGGGTCTCACATCCAGACTCACATCTGTCAGAGTGTTCTTAGGCAAGTCCTCCATCCACTTGGCTGTCACATTGGTAATCACAATGCTCTTCTTGCTTGTGGGACCTCCTGTCTTCTCAAGCAGCCTGTCCACTGTATCAACAGTTGTAATTTTGTCTGAGATCTTGGTATTCACAGGGTCCTTCACCAATTCAGTATCATTTAAGCTGCATCTGCATTCACACGGTTTGTTACTACCCTCCAATGTCGTCGTAATTTTCCCACAACTTCCCTCTTGGGTTGCTGCACTTGCTACTTCTTCATTCAATAGAAATGCCTATGGATATAAACACAAATGTACATATAGCATGGACAGCATTATGAATATTGTCACATGTTTAGAGACTAGACTCAGGGTTTGGATTGGTAACTGCATTTACTGGACTCTTATAAATCGTAATTACATATAATTATAGCACTCTTGCTAATTTACACACTCTACAATTCCCTACAGCACACACTAAGGCTTCTCAGTTTCTCTTCATTACTTGTTGCTCAGCAATGGATCCAATGTCCTCTTCTCTGCTGCTCACATCATTACGAAATGGCGGCTGTCTTGCACCTAACCCATGACTCAAAGTGTGTTTTCACACTCTTGAATGCAGCTCTCAACTGGTTGGATGCTTTAGCTACATAGCCTCAGGTTGTACCCAGTTGAAAACATCGTTTCCAAGCATTCTCGATTGTGACATGTTCATCACCAGAGAACTGTTTATAGGCCGTTCCCTAGCAAGGACCATCCCCCCTGGCTAATTATACTGGTTTCAGCTGCCATGTTACAATATTTACACATACAACAAGAAGCTGTATTCTTTGTTCTGAATAATTTCTGTCCTCAACTACCTTAAAATTTTAATTGGCTTCCAAGTAGTGGTAGCCAAATTGGTCGGTCTGGCTGGAATATAAAAAGTAATTAGCCTATGGATCATGGGAATCTTCCAGACATTCACTATTTCCTTCACTCTTTATTTTATTCCTTTCCCCTTCCCCAGAAATACACAAGCATGCAGACATTTGCGTCTATTTCCATAGAACTCAATTTGCAACTTTCTGACTTCAACAGTGCCCTCCTGATTCCAATCCTGCTACCCTGTAATATAATACTGGAAACATGGAAAGGATGAGCCCATCAGCACAAGGCAGAAAACAGCATCATACAGAAGTAGTAGTAATCCTTTCCAGTACTGGGTCTATTAAGATCTGTTACAGATATTGACTCTCATGGAGAAGAGCCCTTCTTGAGTGGCTGCTAATTGTGCAGCTAATCAAAAACTTCCCAGCATTTTATGGAACACATAGGTTCATTACTGCGTTCACAAGAGCCCTCCACTGGTCCCTATCCTGAGCCAGATCTATCCAATCCATACCATCCCATCCTATCTCTCTAAGATCCATTTTAATATTGTCCACCCACCTATGTCTTAGTCTTCCCAGTGGTCTCTTTCTTTCTGGCCTTCCCACCAATATCCTACATGCATTCCTCCTCCACCAATTTGTGCTACATGCGCTGCCCATCTCATCCTCCTTGACTTGATCATTCTTAATTATACTTGGAGAAGAGAACAAGTTATGAAGCTCCTCATTATGAAGTTTTCTCCAAGCTCCCATCACTTCATCTCTCTTCGGTACACATATTCTCAACACCCTGTTCTCAAACACCATCAGTCTATGTTCCTCCCGTAATGTCAGAGACCAAGTTTCACACCCATACAGAACCACAGGCAAAATTATAGTTCTGTATATTCTAATTTTTGTTTTTAGACAGCAGACAAGAAGACAAAAGGTTCGGACTGAATGGTAGCAAGTATTACCCGAGTCCAGTCTCCTCTTAATTTCCTCCAGAATCAGATTTTGTTTTGTTATAGTCATTCACAAATATCTGAACTGTGCCACAGATATTACAAAACAAAACCCTTCCATCACTGTAGCAGGATAACTGTTATATTAGTATGACAGGGCATGCTGGCACACAGCCTAAAGGAAGCAACCAAAGAACTCTTTGGATAGAAACCAATTGGTAGTATTTCTAACAGCTTTCAGCATAACAATACCTGATAACATATAGCATGTTTACTTCATGCCCCAAACTTTTAGTATCTTGTGGTCTGCATTATGTCCAGATGGACTGGCACTAGTTTGGACAAGTAAGGCCTAACTCTGACACAGCCAGAGACTTCTCAGCCAGCAGACCTGCATCTAGAATGTAAGGAACTCTACCATGCCCTCTGTCTACCTTCATGGTATGGCTATGCTGCAACTCAGGCAATCAGTCACTGTCTTCTCACCATGGCAGCATGGCGATCAGCCCATGTAGCATATGTGGTGGTCAAAGTGGCACTGTGCACATTTGCTCCAGGCACTCTGGTTTCCCCTGCCAATGTCTATTGAACCATGGGTTCAATTTGTCATCTAGGGCTCGTACAATGGGCCGTTTATGGCCTCTACACCAGCGGACAACATACCCTAAGAACAAAATTAAGTTCCTATGGCAAGGTACCTCCATACAGGAATAATTTCACCTTTCACAATTCTGGAGAACGCTGCTGAATGATGGTTTCCTTTCTTTACATCTGTGCATTTCAACACTCCTACTAAAATAGCAAAATGGAAAAGTTACCACACACGGATTACCTGTACCCTCTTAATAGACACAGTTGACTCAGCCACCTCTATTACAGCTAGCGGGAAGGATTCGGTCATCACGTGCTTCAGAATATTGAAGTATGCAGTAACTACAAACACCTAGAAGACACACAACACAAATTACTATACTTAACTCATATTTGTGTCCAACGCCATGGAGTTGAATCCTTCTTGAGAGGTCAGCAGACTCTCAGTTTACTTGACAAATTCCTGAACTTTCATGAAACCCGAAGATTATTCTCGTGTTCGCAAGCGCTCAGAACTTCTCCCTGTCCTCAGCAAGGTCTGCCAGCTGACACCCTCCCACCCTGTTTCTTCAAGATGAATTTTTAATGTTATACTCCCACTGCACATGGGGTTCCTACCAAAAACTCTTCCCTCCAATTTTCCTGCCAAAGTATGTATGTGTTTCCCTTCTCTCCTGTCTGTAATACATATTCTGTCCAATTCTCATCTTCTGAATAATATCTGGCAAGCAGTACAAATCATGAAGTGATTTTCTCCAGTCTCTTTATTACTTCACCCTTCTTAGAACCAAATATCCCCCTCAGTAACCCTGTTCTCAAATAAATTCATTCCATGTTCATCTTTTGTGATGGACCAAGTGACATACTTCACTACATTAGACAATGGAACACAACTCACTGTGAATAAGGCTATCTCTAGCCAGGAATGAAGGTCACGTGTTACAGGTAGTAATGATGCCATCCTCTATGAGGCTGGCTGAATTAAGGCTGTGTCTTTGGTGGGGACGCGTCATGGACGATGGATCTGTTAGGACACCTCCTTCTGATCCTGCTAGGCAATGAAAGTCTCAGGGTCTGGACTAGTATGACTAACTGGGACTGGCGGCTCAGTTCCCATAAAGGGCAATGTCGCCTCTATGACTGGAGCATCCCATGTGGTGGCATAATGACTCTTGGGTATCACTACGGTCTACCCAGGACGAATGCGGGAGAGCACTCGTATGGGGGTAGCTCCGGTTACTTGAGCTGTCTCCCTAGAGTACTGGTAAGGGGCCGTGGCCTTCGGATTCAACACTCTAAAACGGTCTGACCAACCCATGTGGAGGGGTGAGAAAATGGGGAGCTTATATGCCACTCCCAGGGGCAACTCCTTCAAGCAGGTTTCCCTGGTTGCAATCTCATGATTAGTTGGTATCACACTCCCACTGATCATCTGGGATACCCCTTCCCACCGAAGGGGGGCTCTGGTTCTGGTGGTTCATGAGGGTCCTATCCTCAACAGGACCAAACCACCTAAGCCAAGGTGTGAGGCATTGTGCTGAGGGCTGTGTGGCTATTAGCCAGTGACATGTACGGTCTCCTTGGGGCACCAGGCAGCACTCTATTGTATTTATGCCGTCCATCCATATGGAGCTCTGAGGGTGGTGATCTTCTAAATCCCAGTGACTCATGGGACAAAAATGAATACCAAAACTACAAAAAAAAAAAACCCCGGTCATAAGGACTTGAAACAGAAGAGGTACTCCCCTCCAAGGAGATCCCTACAAGAAATACTTCAGCAGGGAGCTGGAAGCTCTGGTGCACCATTAAGGGGTCAGGCTGCAACCAGCAATTGAAATTTCAGCCAAAGGCAGGGATGAACCAATGGTGAGAAAGCTGCCCAAGGTAAAATCAAAAACCACTTTCTATTGAGAGTCAGTAGTACCAACACACTACTGCAAGGAGCTAGTACTTCTAGCATACCTACAGCAGAAGGGTTGAGACATATTATTTCGGGAGTAGGTGAATTGTCTGGCGAAGAAGGCATTGTCCAGATGAGCTAGATGGAAACTTAAAAAGGCAAGAGCTAGGGCAAGCGAAGCAGGAACTGGGGGCATTCAGCAACCAGGAAATGCAGCCACGCCCAAACAGGGAGAAACCCCTACCGGGACCTTTGAGAGGACAAGGCCAGAGGGCTGTACCCCTACAGAAACATCCAGAGTTCCAAAAAGGCCCAGGGACTCTACGAAACCAGGCACTTACAAGGAGGTTATGACCTACATAAGGGTGCCTATCTTCAGGGAAACATCCTGAAGATAAGCTAACAGACGACAACCAAAACTTCATTCTGGATGTACTGGGAGGGGTGTTATGTAGGACTCCAATAGAAGTACCACCCGTGAAGTCTTAACAGACTGGAGGGAGGTGCACTTATTTATATATGTGCCGACCAACAATCTGGTCAATGGCTCACCAAAGCTACTGACAACTACAGGCTGGAATCAGGGGCCAGGCTGAAGGCTACTTATGCCAGGAACCTACCCAAGCCTGTTAAAGTGGCTCTCCAGATTAGGGGCAAAGTTGCCCAGAATCAGGAACAGCTGCTGAAATGGAATGCAAACCTTAATCCAGGACTCCACATGGAGCGCTGGAGAGTACTCAATAAGCCATCTGAGCTGAGAAGCCAGAGGCTTATCTTACTCATAGACTGGGACTCTTATACTATTATAAAGAGCACTGGACACAAGATCATTACAGGACTCTCACAGGGAATTGTTAAAGTGCTGAAACATCCTGAGGCTCAGCACCAAAAAGAAACTGTGCTAGACACAGCATCCTCAAAATCGGTCTCTGAAGGGGAGGGGATGATATACCCACTCCGTCGGATGACTGAAGTAGAGCAGATCAGGGGACCCCTTTGAACGGAACCCAATCTAAGAATAAGGAGGAAAGGAAGATGGAAACTGACCTCTCTCCAAATGGAAACGATAATAATTAAAACAGAGATACACACGCAGGCATAAACTCAAACTCAAATGCAAATGCACACACACATGCACATAACATAANGGTTAACACCACATATACACGGTGCCAAATCCCAGAAGACTGCTTTCTTCATTAACATAAAATTCCTTCAGATTAACCTACACCACAGCAAAGCAGTCATGGCAACTTTATGCCAGCAGCTAGCTGAGGGAAAGGCAGATGCAGCACTTGTTCAGGAACCTTGGTTATACAAGGGTCAAATAAGAGGTTTAACACAGGGGGAACAGTCTACTCTGATGCACCTGGTAATAATGCAAGATCCTGTATTTAAATCATGAATTATATTAATGCCTTACCTTTGGTAGAGTTCTATTCTAGGGATGCAACAGCGGTGAGGATAACATACATGTATCTAGGAGATTGCGAGGAGCTGACTGTTGCTTCAGTCTACCTTCCATATGACTCAGATGAACCACCAACTAAGGAAATGAGGGACAACATAGACTACTGTTATAGCAGGAGAAACCAACTCATCGTTGGGTGTGATGCCAATGTACACCACATTTTGTGGGGGACCACTGGCAACAATCCAAGGGGAGAAAGCCTTATCAAATTTCTGGTGAGTTTGAACCAGAATATTTTAAACCATGGTAATGAATCCACCTCTTTGTCTGCAACAGGAAGGAGGTTATTGACTTGACACTAGGGACAAATAAAATAGGAAACCTGGTAAGTCAGTGGCATGTATCTGGCAAGCCGTCTCTATCAGACCACAGATACATATATAGAATTGAAAAGATTCTGACGATGGTGTAAGCTGTACAGAACTATTAGGCTTATTTTGGACTCTATCCATCGTCTGGTATATAATAAGACAAAAAAACCTCAACGTTTCGGAGACTGGATCTGTCTCCATCCTCAGGTGGATGGGGCAGGATAGACCTACTCAGTTGGGACCATTAGAAAGAGCTAGTCTAATCACAGGGCAAACCCTGGTCAGTAGAGAACAGCTTATAATCAGCTGACAGCAGGTTCCATCATTGGGAGATAAGAATAAAATCACAATAAAAGACAAGATAGAATTTTTGTGCCAAGCATGCACATGTCAAAAATATATATGATATGATGGAACTTGCTGTCAGGTGTTTATAGGCTGTTCTCTACTGACCGGGATCTGTCCAGTAATTGAGACTAGCTCTTTCTAATGGGTTCAACTAAGGTCTCTCCTGCCCCATCCACCTGAGGATGGAGACAGATCCAGTCTCTGAAACGTTGTAGTTTCTTTTTTGTCTCATATATACCAGACGATGGTTGAAGTATAAAATAAGCCTAATAGTTCTGTACAGCTTACATCATCATCAGAATCCTTTCAAGTCTATTTGTGTAACCGGTATGGACCCGGTATATACCCTTCTTTTAGGAAACTAGAACATTAAAAATGCAGTTGGCAAAAACCCTGAACCATATAACCTTTCTGATGAGGTGCAAATCCCAAGGCATTGCTCCCGAAGGCCTCTCGGTTAAGATGCCATATGGTGGTCGCCATTTTTCCAAGATTGCTCAATGGGCCAGTATGTCACTCCTTATAGATAGGATTCATGCTCACTGGAATAACAAGTCTTCCCAACTCCAGAAGATCCAACAACTGGAGGATTTTCTCATGTTGTCAATGAGCAGCTCTGACCAACAGTGTGTCTTTACTGCTGTGCAAAGTTCATTTTGAAGCATCTTTAACAAGCAAAAAGGAATCCATATACGCAAGTTCTCCATGCTCAAGAGTCGTCATATCAAGGTCAGGTCTGACGCAGCTACTGTCTCTAAAAAATTTGTCCTTAATTTCTCAAGAGTACATTCTCAAAGACTATGAGGAGTCATAGTGAATCCACACTGCAACTTAGACATGGCATGTGCTGTTGAATCAGTGGTTTCAAAACTTCCACAAATTTTGGGAATGGAATTCAGATGGAAGGTCAAGTCACCCACCCCCAATATAAGCAAGAAGGAGGCTCAACAAAGATATCAGGATCCTGCCAGCAGAGAAGGGCAACTGCACGGTGGTGCTAGATGGAATAAAATACAGGGACAAGATTAACCCCCTGCTGAAGTCCGGTCCTCAATGTGTTAAGATTTTTTCACCTGGGCCAGTTCTTTAGGGAGCCAAGTGACTTCTACGACGCCCCCATAAATAAAGTCCTACATTTCATTCAAAGTGTAGGATTACACGTAATAAAGGGTTCATCCAAAGGGGAAGCACCACAGATCATTGAAGGTCGCAGTGCAAGGGGCGGATTTTATGGCCCACCCCTTACACATACATACAAGGCTTTCCCTATCAGTCTTGTTCCATTTCTGACATTGATCTCTTCAGGAGGTGGTTCATGTGTGTATGAATTTAGACACACAGTATAACAAAATAAATGGTGGAACCTGGCCTCACCTCTTCTGCTGTGAGTCTGCCATTCTGGAGAACATAGGAGACTACGCTAGCAAATACGGCAAGCTTGGTTCCAAACCGTCCGAATGCAGAGAGCAAACCCATCACGAAGCATGATGCCCTGATAGCTTTGATTTCATGCCTGGAATGAATAAACTTCAGAAAATAGCAGAATTTAATACCAGCTACCAAGCCAAACACATAACAACATAACAACTTCAAATGCATGTCAGGAAGTTCATGCTCTCTACATGCATCTGCAAGGGTCAGTCAATTACCATAAAAATGTTAGATCTGAGGTCCTCACAGCATTGACAATGAAGAGTACTATTTTCTCACATGTAACACTGTAGTCTGGTAGAAGTCTGCCAACATTATCGCTCACTTTGTGCAGGCTTCTTCTGTTGGACTGCATGACATCACATTCCACACTATAGTACTCTTCAATTATTACAACCTCTGTTTTCAAAGTGAGCCGGGATAGCGCAGTTAGTATAGTGACTGGCTACGGGCTGGTGACAAAGAGGTCAGAGTTCAAGTCCCAGTAGGGTCAAGAATTTTCTCTTCTTCACATCATCCAGACCAGCTCTTGGGTCCCCCAACCTCCTATCAAATGGGTACCAGGGGCTCTTTCCCGGGNGGGGGGGCGGGGCGCGGGGTGGGGGGGGGGGGGGGGGGGGGGGGGGTAAAGCTGACCACTCACCTCCAGTTAGTGCCGAAGTCAAGACAATGTGAACCTATACATCCACTTCCCCACATGCCATCATGGCATAGTGCTTAATTAGTCAGGGACAACTTTACCTGCTTTCAAAACTTATTTTCTCAGATATGTAAAAAATGCCCTCATTATATATGAGGTTTTCCATGCATGTTCACTGCAAAACTGATGGTGCTGATGTTTTCTTTCCCCTCTTGTTATATGCCATGATCACTCTATTGGAATTCCACTTCAACCATAAACTCTAGATATATCCAACTGTGAACAAATGCAGCAATGATGGTGTAAGACTTTGATATTATATTTAAAAACATGACACAGAATCTGTACCAGCGGTAATTATGTGAACAAAACAGATTACTGAATTAGAGAATTAGTAATTTATAATTCAAGCTAGCACCACCCAACATACTTGTATGTCTGACATGATGCAGATAATTTAAATTCTTTCTGCATCATCTTGTTCTCTTCTTTAATCACTAGCCTTACTGCTTACGTTAGACTACTCTCAAATTAACCTACTTGCGCGCAAGAGCAATGAGATGTGCAAATGGCTTCTCCCAGGCATACAACTTGATCACCTGGATACCAACAACGATCTGATTCATGAATTTGATGCGCTCGTCTGTTCTTCTTGCCGTGCACGTGCGTAATGTTGATATCATCTTCCCAAATCCAGCTGCAACATCCAGAACATGAGTTTAACCTCACTGGCATTAAGGTCTTCAGCAAAGAAAAAATACATTGGAACTGGGACTATTTCTGGAAAAATACACTCTAGCAAAAAGAACACCAATATTCACTATAGTCACTACTGCTGCAGAAGTCTGCTACTGAGCATTTCTAAGATACAGCCAAATCCAAACAGAATTACATACTAAGTGGTGAGATTGAATAATTCCATATGCTGGTCCTTGGCCAGTCAAGTATTATATAACTGTTTCAGAAGTTGTAGCCAATGGGTTGATGATGGCTTTGTAAGTTATCCCCTAACAGAAAAAAGGAGAATGAAGAGTCAGTGGCAATACTGACAGGAGGCAGGAGAGGTAGGACACCACCTGATTTATAGCAGGTGGTCCTCAAATCACCCTAACAAAATCTATCCAAGGTGGCACTCTTAAACTGACCATGGTACTTGGCCACAGATATTACATGACAAGGCGAGACATCAAAACACATGACAAAGAAGGGCAATGACAAGCAACATTCATTACGTTGACTGACTGCCTAACTCCATCCACTGTTCACCGCAAGGTCTGCCTGGGGAAGGCCACTACAAGTGAGTGAGTCTGCCCTTTCATCCCTCAGCAGTACACATTGGAACAGCTGGCGTAAATAAGACATGTAGCAGTCACATTTAACACATCAACACCTGATGCTGCATTCCAAAATGTCTGACATACTGACATTACTAATTTGTGTAACATACAGTTGGCATATAGACTATCAGCTTCTCAAAAGCACTCTGCACCATGCAGTTAGTTGCCTCACTTGGGGATATCCACAGTAGCTTCAAATATTGGGGACACACAAAGTAACGTTAAGGTTCAGATTCAATCTCTGTTCAACATAACAAACTTCTCAATTAAACCAAAGAACATGCTGAAGCAGGGTACAGGGGCAACAGCTTCTGATGTGCAGGTTGGGTTCATCTCAGAATGACTTCATGCAAGATCTGTGGTCAATAACATAGGATGGAGTAGGAAGACTGTTTATAACACTCGGGATTACCAGGCTTTTGGACTTTGTTCAGTGTCCAGTATTCGAGGAAACACAAAAGAACACACTGTTTCAGGAACTTCATCTGTTTCTGTCCTCACATAAGGGGATGGGAAACATCTACATTGTTGAGTCCCTTAGAAAGAACTAATCTCAATCACTGGGCAACTTATGTCAGTATAACTACAGTGGTTAGTTAATGTAATAGTAGGTACAGGAAATAGAAGGAATTGACCAATATGGCATATTTAACTAATCCAATCAGCCAACCCAGTTTGGATATTTCTCCTATTTGGAACCCCCTTATTAGTAATGGTGTTAGCAACTCACGAGGAAGGTCAGTACGATCTGACAGATTCCTCACGGGTATCTACAAGATTTTAGTCCTGGGTTCAGTTTTTATTCCACACATGGCACTAGTGGCAGCTAAAAAAATGGTTCACAACATGAAAATCTCCAGTTCATCCTGTGCACTGGATTTCATGGATTTTCCTTGTTGGTTAGGCTGTCTGCATAAAATTTAAACTTCACTTTCTACCTCAGTTTCAGGTCTGTACATGCTTTATCATAATTTTCCTGTTCTCTCTCAATGACAAAGCATGATCTCAAGTATTTATACAGCCGCAGTTATACTGACATACGTTGCCCAGTGACTGCAGTTAGCCGTTTCTAATGAACCAAACAGAGCACACATTTCCCACCTGTTCCCCCGAGAATGGAAACGCATCCAGTTTCCGAAATGCTGCACTCCTTTGCATTCTTTGGAATACTGCATGATGGACCAGTTTAAAAACTGAGTAATCCCTTGGATGGAGCAGGTTTCTCTCTATGCCTAGCATCATTCCACTATTACTCCAACCCACCCATCACTGCCCTGGGGTACCCTATCCCTGATCAGGCAGAGCATGACATCCTCAGTTCTTAAGTTGTTTGCTTCATCTCTGACTTGGAACTTTCCTATTCTTCAAGGAATTCTGTTGAGGACGATTTCCTAAAATGTTATAATATCCAGCAGCTGTTTGTAATACAGACCTTGAACTGGTATGAACAGCAGAAGAGTAGCAACCCCAATGATTGCTGAGATACCAATCTTAGTCCACATCAAGTAAACTATTGCTGCTGTCTCCACTGGACCAATCACAAGAAAAGGAAGGAACACGAAGCTGCTATCAAAGCGGGCCACATCATTTGACAGGAGATTCACTGCCTGGCCCACAGTTGCTTCTCCCAGGGCTGTTCTACTCAGTCTCAGTGCCTGAAACCAGAAAGACAGAAACTCTGTGTATAGGTGGCCAAACACAGTAAATATTGTGACATGACAGCTGAAGACCAGAACAGTGAAGCCAGAGGAGACAGTGCTAGGCAATGACATTGTAAGCACGTTACCGCGGCAATGGATAAGCATACAACAATAGAGGAATGACTGGAAACTGCATTTTCTATGTGAGCCATCCCTATATTATAACAGAGACCAAGCAGGACTAGAAGCATCAGTCAGGACACAACAGTCACTGTCGAGAGATGACAGTTAGGTAGTGACAGTCAAGAGACTGCAGTCATCATGGAGAATCGCAAGTCAAGAAAAAGGACTTGGGAGCTGACACTGGAGAATTGTGTGCAGCAAGAGGAATAACCACTGTTGGAGGACAGTGGTTAGCAATGATTAGTGAGGACACAGCATATGGAGAAGACCCTGTGTTGTGCCTAAGTTATTTGCAGAGTGTGCACAATACTGGAAGTGCTTGTAACTATGTGTACTACACATTCAGTAAATTCAGAACTGAATCAAAACCCGCTGTCTAGTCATCAACATGTGACAACTGGTGTGTTAGAAGTGAGGCTGGATTAAATAGTTGGATTGTAAATCACAAATTCCAAGAAAGAAGTGGCATGTCTTTCAGAATTGGCATCCCAACAGGGTGAAATATGGGTAGGAATGCATTGCAAATCCGACCCATATCAAAGGAGGCATTAGTAAAGCTGGCTCTGAGGTGATGGCCACTGAACACTTGGGTAATCATCACCAATATCGCCAGAGCCTTCAGTCAGGAAGCGGCAGTCATAATCAAATTGGCAGTTAGGCGTTGAGTCATCAAGAGCTGTGACTCAGGCGTAAGTCGTCAAGAGCTGCAATTTAGGAGTTGTCACCAAGTGTTGAGGGTCAATAGTACATGTGAGTGTGGAATGAGGAGCTGCAGTCAAAAGTTGCAAAGTTAGGATTTATGTGTTAGGAGTCTACAGTGAACAAACAAGCAGCAAGAGGCGCTGCCACAGTTGGAAGCCATTGCTTAGCAATGACTAGTGAGGACACAGCAGAGGGAGGAAACTTGGAATATACTGAAGTTATCTGTAGAGCGTGCATATCAGTGAACTTGCTGTAATTATCAGTATCACACATTCAATAAATTCAATATTCAATCCAAAACACATGTTAAGTCATAAACATGTGGTAATCTATTTTATTGCAGAGTTACTTCAAACGGTATAATAATCACCCACTGCATGGTGTGGGTCCCGAGTCCATCTAGGCGTGGTGGCAAAGAGAAAAATCCACTCCTGCTATGAACAAATCTTAGGCTGTCTAGGCCAGGGACCGAAAAACTTTTAAAAATCTGGCATTCCAATAATGGATCGGTTTTGTATGGTGCCTTGCTGTGGTTCTCACTCACACTTGGCACACAAGATTAATTTCTACCTGTTGTACAACTGTCTGTCCTGAACACACAACGCAATAATCCAATGCACAGAGATATTGGGTTTTGGGACTTTATCCATTGTCCCGGTTTTAAGATAACTACGAAAAACACGTTGTTTCAGAAACTGGATCTGTGTCCGTGCTCAGGTGAGGGAAAACACCTATTCTTTTGGGTCCTAATAAGAAAAATATACATTACAATTTGTTCCAAACATATACAAGCGTGGAACCAGGCTTGTATGTGTTTGGAACAATTTGTAATGTATATTTTTCTTACTAGCTCTCATGGACTTAGCTTGGTCTCAGGTGTTTATAACCTTTGTGTTTTGTGACATCAGTTGTCCAGTGATTGAGACTAGCTCTTTCTAAAGGACCCAACAGAATAGGTGTTTTTCTTAGTTACCTTAAAACCAGGACAATGGATGAAGTCTGAAAATCCAATATCTCTGTGTGTTATACACCATCGTCAGAATCCTATAGTAACTGATAATCCAATGACCTCATCAGGAATCAAACCCGTGATTGTCTAGCTTGTAGCAAAATAAAAGCGTTCCTTTTTCAGCCAGTATGTGCTAGGATGCATGCCAGCAAACAATTTATGCGTACTGTCACAACTGTCAAAAGTCACACATCTGCTGGTATACTATATGTTTGAACCCCCATATTCAAATTGATTATGCAGGTACAAGCAAACATGTTTTAGAAAAAAAAAAAGAGGAAGTGCAAGACAAAAGTAAGATGTAGGAAAATGAATGTGAGGCAGAGTGGATAAATAACATTCAACTCCATACAAAACACCAACCCTTACAATAAAAATAAAGTCACTGAAAAAAGGAAAAGCAAAACTAGATTTCTACTTTATTGCTGTCACACTGAATTTACCTTTCTGTAGATTAATGAACAGATACCGACACGCATTTTCATACCAGCATGGTATGCAGCCAGCCATATTGGGTTCACAGCAAAGACATTGAAAGTGGAACAAACAACAATACCAGCAGCATACAGATAAGCTGTATCACGACCTATCCCACCGCCTGGAGAGAAGTACCGGATCAGGCCCCCCAGAAAGATTGGCTGCGTCATTCTGTATACCAAAGGAAATCAGTTTTTCAGCATTGGTCCTTTAGAAATGAAATAGAGGTTTACAAGAAGAAAAAATGTACTTTCATTCCAACATAAAATCTAACAGAAATCCAAATTTCAAAATAGATTTTGAATTTGAAGAAATAGGTTTTGGTTCATGTGAAGTATAATTCTGATCCAGCTCATAAAGATATATATTTTAAAAAGCATCAAAATTACTGAAATCCATCCAGTAGGTTCATGATGCCAACTGTAACTGAGTCTTCTTTTGGCTTATTTTGGACTTCACCCATCGTCTGGTATGTAAAAGACAAAAAGACAAAAAACTACGACATTTTGGAGACTGGATCTGTCTCTGAAATGTCATGGTTTTTTGTCTTTTTGTCTTTTACATACCAGACGATGGGTGAAGTCCAAAATAAGCCAAAAGAAGTACAGTATACACCATCATCAGAATCCTTTCAAGTCTATCTGTAACTGAGTCTTTTGTAACAGCAGTTGTTTCTTTTGTTATGCAGTATGCCAATGCTGTTCAATGGCAGGCTTTAATAAGCACATTTATATCACTAACAATGATACATACACATATAAATACACACAAATATTTAAAACTCAGATTATTTACAAAATGTCTAAATCCTGGAGAAGTTACAGTATTTTACTTTATTCTGTTGAACTGACAACTGTGCCCTGTAGTTTTAACAAACTAATTTTTAACAATCGCTGAATTTAGGAATGTAAAATTTCATTCTGTTCAACCATGACCACTAAAATATAAGCTAGTGACCAAGACTGTGAAAAATAATACATCCAACTGCATTCAGATTGTTTTATATTAGGTACATGTGCTGCTGCTGTTGGCAATGTTCCGGCTGTAGAGTCATCTTCCAAATTTCTTGTGTCCTCATTATTAAAAAAGTATGAATGCAGATGGGCAATGATTCTGACTGTGGCTTGACATCACAGACATTGCCTCTCCATTGTATACAAGGTGTGGCAATAAAGAAACCAGATTACTTTTATGACTCATTTCCGGCCACGTCGATGACGAAGAGGATGGTAGGGCATTGAACCGTGGACTTCCCTCTACCGTCACACAAAGTTTCATTCACGCGCATCGGTTAGTCTGGCCGTGACCATTGTTAGAAGAGGATCGTGTGTCTGAGCTCCGTCGGAATAATGCTGAGTGCTAATGTAGAACGTGTTAACATCAAATTCCTCACAAAACTTGGAAAATCTGCCACTGAAACTTACAGTTTGTTGACAGAAGTATATGGTGATCAGTGTCTATCTCGCACGCAAGTTTTTGAGTGGTTTAAGAAGTTTATGGAGGGTAGGAAAAACGTCGGGAACGATCCAAAATCGGGCCATCCTCCCACTGCGAAAACTCCAGAGAATGTGGAGAAGGTCGCTAGAATTGTTCGAAGAGATCGTCGACTGAGCATTCGAGCAATTTCTGAACTTACGAACATCAATAAGGAAAGTGTTAGACAGATTTTGCACGACGATCTGGGCATGAAAAAGGTGTGTGCTAAAGTGGTGCCAAAAATCCTTACCCCCCAGCAAAAGGAACATCGAGTGAATTGCTGTGTTGACACTCTTGAAAACATTGAAAATGATCCTGATTTCTTCCAAAACGTAATTACGTGTGACGAAACTTGGATTCTTCAATATGATCCAGAGACTAAGCGACAATCCATGCATTTGAAGAGCCCCAAATCCCCTAGGAAGAAGAAAGCGCGCATGAGAAAGTCCAAATTCAAAGCAATGATGATTGTTTTTTTCGATATCCGGGGGTAATCTACATTGATTGGGTGCCTGAAGGTCAGACTGTCAATCAGGTTTATTATAAAAATGTTTTGATGACCCTCCGTGAACGTGTGCGACGAAGGAGACCAGACATGTGGAAGAATGCCTCATGGGTTCTTCATCACGACAACGCGCTATCTGTGAAGAGGTATTTGGCAAAAAAACAACATTCCAGTGATGGAACATCCACCGTATTCTCCAGACCTAGCATCGTACGACTTTTTTCTCTTCCCGAAAATCAAGTCTGCGCTCAAAGGGACCAGGTTCGAGTCCGTGGATCCAGTGAAAGCAAAAGTGATGCAACTCTTGAAGAGCATAACACAAGATGACCTGCAGCACTGCTTCCAAGAGTGGAAAATTCGCATGGAGCAGTGTAGGGATCGGGGAGGGGACTATATTGAAGGGGATAACATTTCGATTGTCTGATTTTTTTCCAATAAAGTGTTAGAGCATGAATCCGGTTTCTTTATTGCCACACCTTGTAATTTGGATCCCCACACAGTAGAGTGTAGGATGTGTAGACAGATACGCTTTCAGGATCAGTGTTTGATCTTGAGAGAGCTACAGAATTACTCCTTGAGAAGCTGACTGTTACTTTGGCCTAATTAAATAAAATGCTATATTTTTGCCGTGTAGGAAGTCTGAAACCCCCCACAGGCACATCCTACACGTAGTAGATGGAGGATTCCATCTGTTGTGGGCAATCTGAATATTTGAGTAAGTAGCTGTTTTTAGGGGCCAAAGTGCTGGGACATTAACTCTTCAGGGACTATAAAAATATGGAGTGCCACAATCTGAGGTTACAGGATGATGTCCTCAATAATAAAGTCTTTTGCTACAGCAACAGAGTGAACCAATACAAATGCCACACTTGACTAGAGCCAGTAAAATGGCAGCCTCATTACTGTGGCATCACAATGGTCATGTCCTCAGAGCACACTTCCTTTCACTCAGATACTCTAAGGAAATTTCATGACGGATAAACAGGATGGAAGGACCAATTCTGTGTAGGACCTTTGAGCCACATCAGTCCTGTGAGAGTCATCCTTGTAGATGATAGTGACAATATTGTTATGCTTCCCCTTGTACACTTCTGCTGCTGTTTCACGAATAAGTTTTGCCAAAAAGATGGCATATTCACTTCCTTGTATTGTGAGAGAAATAATAATATAACTGAATATCAATACACTCTTGACAAGATGAGTATTATCTTCTAGGACATAATGCCATGTAGTCCACTGAAATACAAACGACATTTTGGAGGAACATATTGCCTCTATCTTCAGGGTTGAAGAACACGAGCAAGAAAACAGCATAAAAGCAGGTGGCAAACAGAGCCATCTTGACAAGATGACTGTGTAGCACACTGCCAATTCCAACAATATTATAAACAGCTTAAGTGCCACTGCCACTGCTGCTGCTGTTGCTGTTGTTGTTAACAGTAGAAGTAGCAACAGCAATAAACTGTAATCAATCCCAGTACCAAGTGAGTTTAAAAGACGAATTTATAGAGTTCATGATATACTGGCCACAAAACATCATAATGATGATCAATACACAATAAATAACAACACTATAAAGAATGAAAGACAAAACTGAGTAAGTCTTTGAAGACAGAAAGTTAACAAAAGTTACATCATTGTGATATAACATTACAAGTTTACTTACCTAAAGAAGAACTCGCAGAAAATCATGGTCAGTCCAAGCCACACAGCGTTAACACCAAAACACCTAGCCAGAACTCGGAACAAACTGGGTCCCCTGTCCCATGTTTTCCCTCTTTGTAGCTCTTGGTTCCATAACCTGTAACAGATATATAAATCTGCATCACTAACACTTTGTGGACCAGTGGCATATTTTTATGCCCAGCGCTTTTAAACGTGGGGGACTGGTGGCATATTATTATGATTTTAGGACACATTATGTTGAAACACATTATACCTTGCACTGGCACCAGGCAGACACATGACTGGTGCATGATAGACCTCTAGAATGTTTGCTTCGTAGTCAATAACATGATCCCGCTGTTTATGACCCAACTGTTTTCCTTTCCCACTCCAAAAGAAAATGCCTTTGTTCATCTTCCAGCTACATGCACCAGGAAGTTACTAGTGCAAAATGGATCAAGGTCGGAAGAGGTTGAGGTCCAAGCGTTTTCTCAGAGAACAAGAAATATCTGACTTGTTCTCCGATGAGCTATCTGACGTCCCTTGTGAGTCTGCTAGTGATAGCGACTCACAATCTGATAGTGAGTGTGGCACTGGTGAACAAAAAATTGTGGCCACAGGCAGTGAAAGTGAAAGTGAAAGTGAAAGTGAAAGTAGCTCCGACGAAAGTGCAGGGACAGTCACATGGGGAAAAGTAGACAAAACGCCTTTTTTGGGACAGTTTACTGGATATCCAGGGGTGAAGCAAATTCCATCAGACCCAAATCCACAATTCACAATTCGAGCACGGTTGATGTTCAAAGGAAACACGGTCAGGTAAAGAAGCCTGTTTGTATTTCCTAGTATAATATGTTCATGAATGGAGTTGATAGAGCCAATCAGTACTTGGCATATTATTCTCTTCCTAGGAAAATAATAAAGTGGACAAAGAAAGTTGCCTTGTGGCTTATAAATTGTGCCATTTTCAATTCATTTTTGGTTTCCAAAAATCTAAACCCTCATTCAAAATTGAAATACAAGGCATTTCTGCTGAATGTGGCAAAAGCCTGGGCTACAGACCACACGGTGGCGGCAGAACCGGTGGCAGACACAGTCTTAGTACGACCAGGGCCGTCTACTCCCACCCCATGCAGGCCTCATTTTGACCCCCTGGGCGACTCTCGGGTGATATGCGGAAACATACCCTCGTGAAAATTGTGAAGAGTGAACATGCCAAGGGGAACCAGCCTTCTAGGCGATGCCGTGTTTGCACAATACACAACAAAAGGAGTATGACTGTCTACATGTGCAAGTTCTGTGTAATGCCACTTCACAAAGGGGAATGTTTCCAGAAATATCACACCCTCAGGCACTTCTAGGAGATTGGTAAGTGTTCTCTAAAAATTTTAGTTCATAAAATTAATTGGGAGATTTTATATTAATTTTTAAAGTGAACAGTGCACAAGTTAGGGTAGCAGGATTAAAAATGCCAGTCCCAGGGTGATTTAAATATTTAAATCACCGGTCTGTGAACTGTTAAGATTATGGTCTTTGGGATGTGACACCATGTAGCTTGGTAGACAGGAACCAACAATTTGGAAGAGCCTGCTGCGTACACCTTCAAGGCAGAAATTAATATTTCTTCTGCCATGAAGATGCAAAACTGATGAGTAGAGTGTAGACACGTTACTAGGTGGCAACCATGAAACAAACAACGAAACACCTGATGTTAGGCAACAGATTATTGATAAACAAATATATGGAGCCATACATTAGAAGAACTGCTGGAAACGGTGTCTTCTATGCAGTCCATCCTAAGGGGCTATCAATGGCAAAAGTTTAGAGTTTAGTTGAGTTGTGGGGTTTGCAAGTATGGAGATTAATGACCATTATAATTATTTGCAGTTACAGTCTGGAAATGTTCAGTAAATCCAATTTCCAATCCAAACTCCATCTACAGTCACAAATAAAAGGTAAAGTTGTATCCTTGTGCTTAACTAATTAAACACTCCACAAAGGTCTATGGGGGAGTGGATGTATAAATCCACATTTTCTTGACCTTGGCACTAGCTAAAGGTGAGTGGTCAGCTTCACGTCCCGGCTCTAGGGTCCACCCAATGCCCATGGGATAGGAGGTTGGGTGGACCCCAGAACCATTCTGGACAATGTGTAGAAGAGAAAATTCTTGGCCCTACCAGGACTCAAACTCTGACCCCTCGATCATCCAGCCCATAGCCAGTCACTATATCGACGCTATCCTGGCTCTGAGGCACACCATAGCTCAAGCAGTCAGTTGCTGGCTTCCTATAGCGGCGGCCTGGGTCCGATCCTGGGTGTGGTCAAGTGGAATTTGTGGTGGACAAAGTGGCATTTGGCCAGTTTTTCTCCGAGTACTTCAGTCTCCCCTGCCAATCTTCATTCCACCAATTCCTCCACAATCACCCATCATCTGGGGCTGGTACAGTAGGCCAGAAGTGACCACAGTACAAGGGACTTAGTCCCACCCCACTAGCAATAAAGAAATCCTGGCTCCTATAGTCACACATACACATGACAATAAACACAGCACAGATGTAGGAACAAAGAAGTCACTTAACATACACAGGATTGCAATGACATCGAGATTATGGTACATAACAATTCTACCATTTAGGCACTGAAGTTACTTCAAAGAAAAATTATCCAAGTAAATGAGCAAAAATGAAACACTGGATAAATGTCACAAGACATTAAAGGACTCGGGTGAAAACTCCTGCCAACATAGCCTTTACACAACTATTCCACATGAAAGGTTATAAGGTTTGGCTGTAAATTAATGATTTAATAACACAACTACTTCCTGGTAATATGAAACCATATAACACATCACTGTCAGTGCAGAAGTCTGATACCCTGTCCTCATTTATTTCAATCCATTTCAAAACATCAGTGTCTATAACATTACTGTTTCACCTTGTATACGCTGTAGCCTTCCACACAGACTTTCCAAATCAAATCTGACTACAAATTTTGCAAGCGTCTGCGTCTTTGGTAATTTTATGACACTAATGCAACCTGTATTCAAATTTTTTCAGTTTCATTTTTCTTTATGCCCCTAATCAGCCAGAAACCTTAGAAGTTGAACCAGAAGAAGAAGTAGATACAGATGAGAAAGGACCATATATTTTACAAAGTGAGGTGGAAAAAGCTATCAAGGACATGAGGAATGGAAAGGCTACAGGAGATGATGATGTACCTGGAGATGTGCTCAAGTTACTGGGAGGTGGTTTGAAAACACTGACAAAACTAATGAACACCATATATGAATCTGGGGAGTGGCCCAAGGACTTTACAGAAGTGACAATGATTGCCTTAAAGAAAAAGACAAAAGCTACAAAATGCAGTGACCGTCGCACAATAAGCCTTATAGCACATACAGCAAAGATAATAGCAAAGATACTTAAAAGATGAATTGAAAGAAAAACAGAGGATATACTTGGGGAGGATCAGTTTGGCTTTAGAAGAGGAAAAGGAACCAGGGTTGAAACTGCGATGATGAGAATTACAGCAGAACAAACTTTGGAGATAGATGAATAACTGTGTGCTTGCTTTATAGACTGGCAGAAGGCATTTGACCGTGTAAACTGGACCAAATTAATGCAGATCCTAAAGGAAACAGGCATCGATTGGCGTGAAAGAAGATTGATCAGCAAATTGTACATGGATCAGAAAGTTAGAGTGCGAGTTGACAGAAGGCAGACAACGAGTGTGAAGATTGGAAGAGGAGTTCGACAAGGATGCTGTTTATCAACGCAAAGCTTACAATAATGGATGGTCACAGCAACGACACAGGGGAGTGGATTAAGGAAGGCTGTTTTCAACACAGAACTCAATGTTAATCACATCAAATACAAACTCCCAGTATCCTGCACTTTTGAAGTTGTCACCTTCAACTGCACATGTTCATAATCTCTCATCTAGCCAGACTTCATAATTCTGCCCACTAAAGCCCTACATCATCACCATGAAGTCAATAAGAAAGTATAAAGTTGAATTTGCAGTCCTCATAGTAATGGCTATGAAGAGTACAGTGTTCTGTGCTGCAACACTGTGTACTTCAGAGGCTTGGTGTATGCTTCTCCTGGTCTTTTTGCTTGGCTTATTCTTTGATCCTGGAGAAAGAGTCCATATGTTCCTCTGAAACACAAGGCTTCCTCTGAATTACATGATGTTACAACCCAGAAAATCATATTCTTCATGTAAAAAGTTCATTTTGTATCAATCCTGCATTCCTTTTAGAAACAAATGGCCCTATCAAAACAAATGACTGTGAGATTTCTATTGTCACACAGAGTGTATCACAGAGTATCCTGCTTGAAACAGCACAGTGTTACTTCCACCTCAGAAGTCTGCATGACTAGTGTTGGCATGTTGTGACTATTCTGGTTTCACACAAACCGGTTAATTCACTCAGAGATACACACATGTTTGAGCACACAGACACAGCAGGATGTATCATTCTATAAGGATGTATTTCCTTCTTGAACATAGTCTGAACATCATAAAGTTGGAGGATACACTGAATACTGATCTGCATTCACAGTGACATGGTAAACATTACTCACTTCTCCAATTTGTTTCCTAGGAAGTCAGATCTATGTTCCTGAAGTGCATCATACAAGTCTTTTATTTCCAAGTCTTCTCTATATCCTAACTTGAACATATCACGAAGCCACCTGGAAACATAAATATTAAATAAACATATCACACACAGAAGTCATTAAAAACACAGCTTATTGATGACTTCACTTGTAAGTCTAGAAGTTAGCTTAACCTTCTGAAGCAATAAGTTACTATATGTACACTGTGTTCAGAGGACAGGCTGATTGGACACTGATTCCACCGTCAGCAACTTCTTGCGAAAGTGATGGGCCACCTGCCGAGAAAAATGCAACCGCATGACTGGAACTGCTAGTTTACTTCTTTCATTAATTCTTAATCGAATATAGCAATTAATTTTGTACTCGCCATCACAGATGTTCAAAATGTCTACCCTCTGCTGTGAGACACGTCTGAATTCTTTGAAACAAATTACGGGAAACTTGCTGCAATTAACGTTGCTGAATGCTGTAAGCTGCTTCACGAATGTTCTGTTCTAGAGCCTTCAGGTCATGTGGATTGTTGGCATACACAATATTTTTTAGTTTTTTCCCATAAATAAAAATCACAGGGGTTTAGATCTGGGGATCTAGGGGGCGAACAAACCCTTGCTAATAATTCTATCCTCCCCATTAATTCTCGAAACACACCGCGTAATGTTCGGATAGTTTCTTCAGTTGTGTGTGGAGTTTCGCTGTCTTGCATAAAAAAACCAAATATTTCCTCTGCAGCTGCCAAATTAATTAAAAATGGAGTATTTCATTAATGTTTTGTTAAGCATCAAGAATTCCTTCATAAATATACTGTTCTGTGAATTAACAAATTCTGAGAGATTAAAATTAGCCTCATCTGTGAAAAATGTCAGCTTAG